ACTTTTTTTCAAGGCTATAAAACGACATACACACTTCATAAGGATAAAACATTCCACTGAAAAATATGAAAAAACTTTTACTCTTAAAAATATCGGCTTATCTCTACAGCAGGTGCAAAGCTCGAAAGTACATAATAGGTGACATGTGACTAATTAGGTAAACAATACAATAGGTGCAAAAATGTCCGCTCTAACCCACCCAGTTACCCTCATGTGTCCGCTGTAGCCACTGTCCGCTCCAACCACGTCCGCTCTGACCACGCAACCGTTGAGTTGAGATACTTCACGTCGTTCTTTGTGCACTCCTTGACCGACACTTTCTGGACCTGAAGTTCTCAACAATGGTTGAGAACCTTCACCTTGGAGAAGAATTTCACATTTCAGAGTCAGAATGCGGTCAGCTTTGTTTACCCATTAGTGTTTAATTTTAGTTTATGAATATGAAAAATATTCCTATTTAAGTTTTTGGCATTTATCGACATTTTCTGTACGTTTCCTTGTTTAGTTTTAGTTTATGCAGGGCCGTTGGCTGCCCGCGTACTTTCCTACGATTGGCGTCCCCAAATTAAGGGAAATATATATTTATATATATATATATATCAGTGATTAATAAAATTTTTATTTCATACTGACTAAGTACTTATAAATGACAAATTGTATAAAAAGAACTTACGTATGACAAGCGCTTACAATGAATTTAATGAATTTAAAATATTTAGTCGTGGTATCGGGAGAGAGTCCGGCCGCCCCTGATTTTCTCCGTCCGCGTACTTTTACGCGCTGCACCCCCGCTAGGAACGGCCTTAAGTTTAGGAATATGAAAAATTATTCCGATTCAAGTTTTGGTATTTATCGACATTTTCTATATTTTTCCTTGTTCTATTTATAAAACACATTAAGTAAATGTGTACGTGTTTCTCGAGTTTGGGAAAGGAGAAAGGAAATGATCGTCTAGCAGTGGTGAAAAGTGTGTGTGATGTATAAAAGGTTGAGAACCACTATTTTAGACTATGTCTTTGAGATGGTGTCGCCTGGAACCATCGATTGTAAATTCGAGCAGCAATTGCACACTGATAATCTGCAGTACCGGCAGCATAATTCTCAGTGCACCTCAGTATCGCCACTGTGATAGGAGTTTCAGAGAAATGGACCAATGAGCTTCTATTGCTGAATCTTCTAAAATGTTGGATATGAGCGCATGTTGTTGTTTACGTTTAACTTTGCATTTGTTTCGCAGCTATACGAGTATATGTATTTCGTATAAATGCTGCTACCATTTTTGTAGAAAATCTCGCAGTGCTTTCATTTTATAAGTTTATTTAATCGTCAACATTTCACTTTCGTGAAGCGTATCACGCACTGATATTCGGATTAATATTCGTGGCATATTATCGCTCTTTATATCGAGAAAATAACTGAAATATAGTTAACATAGAATACAATGCGTTTGCTAACACTTGTGAAATGAGAATTTAAGTGTAAGATTTTTTTATTGAGCTGAGAATAACAGGAAGTGTTACAATGAATCTAGCATTTTCTTATCTCAATGCTTGCATTCCTTTGATTTTGAAAGTGTAAGATTCGATGTATATATTGTGAATGATCTGATTATACCTATTGCTAACATTAGAAGTTACATGTGAATAAATTTAAAATATTCGTTGTGAATAAGATAAATTCTTTCGGTTTAAATCATTTTGTGCAGACAACACGTTTAAGAGTGAACATTTATCATGTGAAATTTAGCACACTAAATATGTAGGAATGTAAATTAGGAAAAATCGCTTTGGATAAAACTGTGCATTGGTTATTATTATAGAATATCTTTTTCATATAGTCTGCAATAAAAATTGCTACGACTTCTACTATTTACATATATAATTATGCTTATATTTTATCTAACTTCAAAATTTTCGCAAGAAATCCCGCATATTTTAATTATTTTATACAGGAAATTGAGGGGCAAAACATTTTAAACATCTTGCTTAAAGCGCGGCAAAAATCATGTGAAATGACAGAAATATTACTGTAAGTCCATTGGTCCAGTCTAGAAGCCACTCCCTCAGTGGCTATACAGATGTACACTTACGAAATATGCGTACCGGCAGACTATGATGCTCTCGCAATCGAATTCTGAAACTTAATTGTTATGTATACAGAATTCAGCCATACTTATGCCAGTAAGTCTTAAAATATCCCGGAATTTTGTGTGCAACTAAAGTAGTACGCCTATTAACAGTCTGCAGTTAATCAGTTAACTGTCAAGAATTCAATGGTTGTTGTATCATAATATGTCATGAAACTGCAAATACGAATCTGAACTTGCCAGAGAGTGTAACTTCGGATTTTCTGCCTATTTCTTCTGGATTCGTGAGTTTCGTACTGGAGTCATCTATTATCGCACTTGCTACCTTGGTTTACACGTTTTGTTATTTTAAGTACATGAGAAGCGCATGAAGGTGAATAAATTTTTTAGCAAGAAAGCATTTTAATTTTTACGAAAGCTGTTTTGGAAGTTAGTGGACTCCAACACTGCCACAACTGTGTGGAAGCGATTTTGTGATTCGCTGCCATATAGTCAGTTATAAGTCCATGAAATCGTGAAAGACAGCCACAGCCAGGCGTTTTGTGAGTAAAGCCAATGCGGAAAGGAGATGTTAGTTTGTTTGTTGTAAAAGTCAAACTATAATATGGTTTACGGTGGCGGATTGGAAAGAGTTTCTCTCTGAAGATAACGCTGGTCTATATATAGCATGTTAGGTTTTGGATGTTGTGCGGAGTATTAGTGGATAACCTCCAGTTTATCCTCTTTACAGACCAGATCTCGTAAGAGACTAGAAGTTTTGCATGGACCATGAAATGAAAGCTCTCACATCCGCTGTTAATTTTTACCGTACCCGTGCAAAAGAGAGCTGATGACATAAGTGGAAATTGATAAGAACGAGAAAAAGTGGAGATATTGTTTATATGAAAAGTCTTGCACGAAAACGCCAAGTAATCGTCTTTATTGAGCATCTTATTTTATCGTTTCTTAGTGTCACTTAACTCTGTTGAAGTCTCTCCGGAAAATTCATCCAATGTAATTTTTTGTTTTCTATCTTTTAAAATGTTTCTTAATATTAATGAACTGTCGCATTGACATCTAAAATGTCAGTGCTGTAACTTGCTACTGTTATCTTGGGGATATCATTACATGAAGCTTTTCATTTTACACTATTTTGCGGTTCAAAGAGATGAATTCACTATTTCTTTCTTCCTCTTCATCTGATTCCACACCCCCCCCGTATTTCTGAAGTTATCTCATTCTTTCCCAAGATAACAGTTGCAGTAGTAGGCACTAAGACACTAAGAAACGATAATATAAGATGCTCAATAAAGACGATTACTTGACGTTTTCGTGCAAGAAGACTTTTCATAAAAACAATATCTCCATTCTTTATGGTCCTTTAATAACTCTTCCATGTCATTGTTATTAACTTCCAGGCTCATGGTTTTGCCTTAAGATACACTATTACCCCCCCTCTTTAAAAAAAAAAAAAAAAAACGTTTATTTCAAAACTTTTGAAATGTGTACTTGTAACATAATTTGGTCATAATTTCTTTCAGGCCTAATTCGTGGTCTTATAAGTCACTTGCTGGACAGGCTTTGTTAATGAAAGTTAAGAACAAAAAATGCTAAAATGATGTTTCCAAAAGTTTGAGTTGATTTTCTAAAAGTTTGAGTGTTAATTCTGCTCCAGAGATTCCTCAGAATGATTTTAAAAGTCATTTGTGTCCAACTTGAGCGTTTCTAACTCGAGTAGCTGTTCGTCATGTGAAGAGTTTTTTTGTTCAGATTGTAAGGTTCTTATGTTAACTAACCAGTCATTATGATTTTGATCTTTACTTTTAACTTATCGTATTGCTTACCAGAAATCAGATTAGCTTTAAGTGTATTTAAGTTGAGGCTTTTGAATCTTAGAGAGAAAGTTTACAGCACTCATCTAGCAGTATTAAAGTTCTGCCAACTCTATCTAAATGCAGTTATCACAGCTTTAGGTTCTCTCGCAGCCGATTATTTATGCGCCAGTAAATTATTTGAGCCAGCTTAGTTATTTTGAACTGCGTAGTCTTAGACTCCTTTATCAGCGTGTAATTTAAATGCCCGTTATTGCGTATTTTACATGGCCACAAGTACTGGTTTATCAGTAGCACGAGTTGTGCCCTTTAAGTTCAGTTTAATAAAAAGATTGTTTAAACCTGCGCAAGCCTTTGTCATTCCATTTCAGACATAGCGATAAGTCGCTGTTTATCTAAGGGTGTAGGACTAAAGTTTCAGCTCAAGTATAACTTTATAAAACAATTTGTTCGTTGACCGATTTGCTCGTAATGAGAGGCGTTCATGATTCGAGATTTCACTGTACTTTAAACTGTAAAAAAAAGAAAAAAAAAAAATTAAGGAATCTGATCCTGAGAACAGAATCAGAAACTAATTTTAAGAATCTGTGTGAAATTTTTCTAGTATTTCTACCTACATCACCCATCCAATTGCAGTATTGATTGTGAACCTGCTGGTTCTTTTATTTAAAAATATTTTCATTATACTTATTTTTCTTATTTTCTTGTTGCGCTGTGCATAATAATAATTTTCTTAAGTAATGAAGTACTTTTTAAGTAATGTATGCAAAATGTGTAATGTTTATAATACATTATGCTTATAATACATTTTCACTTTTGTAATAAATTTAGGAAATGAAACGAATAATGGCTTTTTAAAATGTTGTCAATCACTACGATAGTAATTTAACTTCTCCCCCCACCTTTGATGTTCTTATTCTACTAGCTTTAGAATATGTTAAACTGTCTGTTATGATAAGAACTTGCTACAAACATTCAACTCTCAAATTCATAACAGCTTAATTGTTTAAAAGAATCTGCAGCAAAGTCTTACAATTTCTTTTTAAACTTAAAATTTGAAGATTTTTGTTGCCAGTCATTATAAATTATTTTCTTTTGTTTAGGGAAGTGATTCCGGTTATGATTGTGACGATCTGCAACAGAAAATATATCAGCTTGAGGTTGAAAAAGAGCAGTTAGCATTACAGGTATATTTATATGATTTATTAAATATGAATTAGTTATTGCAGTTAATTTTTGATAGTTTTTAAATGAATTACATAAATTTTATAACAAAAATGAGAATTTCACTGCAATTTTTGAATTAAATTCCTAAATTAATTTAAAGCTTTAAGTAGTGGTTTTGATCTATACCAGCGGTTCTCAACCTTTTGACTAACGTGTACCATCTATACAAAAATTGAAAACCTTTAGTACCACTACTACAAAGTTCTACTACCACCACTCTTGAACAAAGCTCAGATCGCATAAATTTACCAGTGTTAGAGAAGAAAAGTCAATCAAGATGTTGGGGCTTGATTTTTAAATTTAATAGTTAAAAATACTTTGCTTCTTTGCCCACCACATTTTTCTCTTGCGTACTACCAACAGTACGTGTACCACCGGTTGAGAACCCCTGCTCTATACCATTTAAACCATGATTACATGAACAAATTTTATTGCGATTCAAATATGATTAATAATTATTCATTTTATTGAATGCAGTCATGAGATGATATTAGTAAATGATTAGTAGTAAATGTCCTAGTCTTGTAATTCATTTGCTATATCCAAAATACACTATGACATACAATTATGGAAGGAATGTGAAATCAAGATTTCTATTATTTGCATTTTTATTTTAACTTTGAGATATTTTAACTTTTATTAATTTTAATATTTAAAATCAAGATATTTTAACATATATTTATAGTGCATCTAAATGCCTCATTAAAATATGTTAGGCATTTATTCAGTAAGCAGAAATATTTTTAAAATATATTGTTGAAGGTAGAGAGCTGTATCAGATTCAGTTGAGTATAATGTGGCATTTCTGTATAATTAATGTAAGTTGTAGCTCAGTTTTATTTAATTTTAAATCTCTAGTACTGTACAGAAGTGCAAAAAATAAACATATCTATATTATCAAATACCATAGTACCATATCATAGTACTATCAGGTTAGAGTTTAGATAACATCAAATCAAAATTTATGTAAGAAATTTGAGAATAAGCATCATTTCCATAAATTAATCTTATCAGTTTATATTTAAATCAGATTCGAAATATCACTAATACACTGACTACCAATAAGTATTTGGATACCTATGCAAATGACAATATCTGCGGTCCTAAGGTACGTCACGGACTCCGTCGGTATATATCGTGTAAGAAACAGCATCGGCTTTAGTCGCATGCAAGATGCCTCGCAGTTCGGAGCTCTCTGATTTCGAGAAAGGTATAATTATCGGGTATCACAAATGTGGCCGATGCTTAAGGGACATATCTAGCGATCTGAAGTACTCAAAATTGACAGTGGCCTATGTGATTAAGAAGTGGAAGGTGAGCGATGATTGTCGGAATGTGCCCGAGTCGGTAGACCAACAAAACTGGGAGATAGAGACGACGAGTGCTGTCCAGAGAAATTCGGAAGAACCGCACTCAACCGATGGCCCTCATCCGCAAGGAGTTTCAACAGGCATCCGGGAGTATTGTTTCAATGAATACCATCCGTAAGGAAGCACATCTGCTTGGTTTTCATGGTCGTGCTGCTGCCCATAAGCCTTTGATCACAAAGTCCAACCGCGCTGCTCGGTTAATGTGGTACAAAGCACATCGAAATTGGACTGTAGATTAGTGGAAACTGTTTTTTTGGAGTGACGAATCAAGGTACACCCTTTATCGTTCGGTTGTCAGGGTCTGGGTTTGGCGTCTACCGAGAACGTCTCCGCCGATGCATTGTGCCAACAGTCAATTCGGCGGGGATAAGGTTGGTTTTCTTGGTATCATCCTTGAACCGGCAGGTTCCTTTCAACGGGCGCCTGGACGGAAGGGTCCTATCCCGATCGAAGTTGCGTCTCTTTTCGAACATTATGGGCATAAGTGTTGTTCGGCAGAGTGATGATGGCATGTCTATAAGCAATGTGGATGATAAGCAATGTGGATGACATACAGTCCAGTTGAAAGATGATTTGATGATACCTGCACTTGGGGAGAAGTATTCAGAGGCTAACTCCTAGGTTGAAAGTCGCTGCGCTGAGGTATAGAAGGCGGCGTCGGATGGGCGGAGAGAAGTCTTGAAATCTTCAGGTCATGTGGGTGAAAATGTCCAATGGGAGAAAAAGTTGGAATTTGGAAATAGAGCTGAGGGGTCTCATGCAAGCAAGTGTATTATGTTCACAGATCAAAGATATAATTTAAGAGTTTTTTTTTTTTTTTTTTTTTTTTTTAGTTAAAGTTAAAGATGTTAGCTTCCTCACATATAGTAAATAGAATTAATAGTTTCTCCATGGGTGTATCTGCTGCTTTTAATTGGTGTAAGTTATTTTTGAGAGTAGAAAAGAATTTAAATATGTTATTGTGGCCGAAAATATTATTGAGTTCTTTTAGTGTAGAGAAAATGTCGGTGAAAATGTTCGCGTTAGATGTAGTGTTGGTAGTCTGATTTCTAGTGTCTTGTGTATTGTTGGAAGTAACCTGTGCGTATGTTCTGCCTTGTGTGGATGTTGGTATATTTGGGGTGCTATTGCTTGGATGTAAAAGTGTAATTTGGTGAATTATTTGTATTTCTGTTTTTGGGGAATTTCTCGCAACCGCGGTATGAAGCTGGATGATTTTTGTGGCAATTTGCGCATGTGGGGTTATCTAATTTTACCTTGTGTAGGGCAGTCTGTTGTTTTATGTTGTTGTGCGCATTTAACACACCTAGGTAGGAAGAAACAATTGTCTGATGAGTGATTAAAACGTTGGCAGTTGTGGCATTGTGGTGTAATGTTTTTGTTGATATATTTTTCGATTGTGATAATGAACATACCTAGGTGTGTTTCACTGTAGATTTTGTCGATGTTTGGTGTTTGCATGAGTTGTATCTGAAATAGTGGCATGGGTTGTTTGGTTTGAATCTTGTGAGTTGTACTACTTTGTGTACATGTGTATCCGAGGTGTGTGAGTTCCGTGGAAATTTCATGTGTGTCAGTGGTAATGGGTAAGGCCTCGGATAACTACTTTAATTGGGCGTTTGTGCTTAGGTGTAATGATGTAATGTTCGATGTTGTGTTTTTGTAGGTCTATGGTGAGTTGTCTGTGATCATCTGTTGTTGAAGGTAGTAATTTGAGGTATTCACCACTTATTTTGGCGTAAAATGTGGCTTGAGTGAGTGTAGTGAGTTTCTTGATGTACTGGTTGTGTGTGGCGCCATCTATCGGCTTGACCATAATTGGTGTAGGTGTGCTATATTGAGGAAGTCTTGTATCTGGTGATTGCGAGCTGTTAATTTGTTGTGTGGGTTGGGTGGAATGAGTGTCTGGTTGCGAGAGTGCTGTGTAGCTGTTTTGGGTGGGTATAATGTTGGGTGGCAATGTTTTACGGGTACCTTAGCAGGTTTTAGTGGTTTTTGAATCCTTCCGTGTCGTCGTCACTGTCTGAATTATCACGTGGTTTGCGTTTCTGTTGTGTGATTGGCTGTGTAATGCTTGCATGAGAAAGAGCAATATTCAACTTACCCCTCAGCTGATCCAGCAGAGTCTTCTTCTTTTCTATCTCCTTTTTCAGAATGTCCGAATGATAGTCCGTGTCCGTGACTGGTCTGTTGGCCGATAAGTACCGGAATGAGTTCGCTAATGGTAGTAATATTAACTTTCTAACTTCAACGATTTCCTTGTCGGAGTGTAGCAATTTCAGCTCCGTAAGAACGTGACCAGCATTGCCCTGGTCCATATCAGTGTCCGTCGTATTCGAGCTGTCCGAAACAGGATCCATAGCTTTATCGGGTGGAACCGCTTCACTACGGGGAGTCTGCTTAGTACGAGCCATATCGAGAGGTCACGATTTCGTTAAAACGAGAAAATGTCTCCTGGTATGGGCTGGGACCCTTGGTCCCCATTCATGGTAAGCTCAACTCCGATGCCTACTACACTATTTTGGATGACAATGTGCTTCCTAAGTTGTGGCAGTTTTACGAGTTGGACCCCTGTTACTTTCAGGACGACAATGCCAGTTGTCATGTTTCGACGTTAAGCAAGGCTTGGTATGGTGCCAGTGGAGTTCATCGAATGGACTGGCCTGCCCAGAGTCCAGACCTGAACCCCATCGAGAACCTCTGGGACGAGTTGCATCGCCGAATTCAGGGGTGCATTACCCGTGCAAAATCGGTGAAGGAACTTCTATGTCTTCTCCAAAGCGAGTGGAAGAAAATACCACTAGCTGTCATACAAAGACTTGTGGAAAATATGCCCTGGAGTGTCCACGCTGTAATTACTTCTCGTGGAGGCTCTACCAACTATTAATTTTGAATAAAGTTAATTTTTCTTTTCTATCACAGGTGTCCAAATACTTATTGGTAGTCAGTGTACATACCTTATGTAAAATATAATCATTGTTGTTGTGGCAATAACAAAAGGCTTACTCTTTTCTCAAATTTGAAAAATTTTTTGATTAATGTAAGAATTTTTTTAGATATGAATAAACATGTCAAAATTTATTATTAACAGATATATTATTTCTTTTTATTGCCAATCGTTATCAATTATTTTATTTTTTTGAAAAAAATATATGTTCTAGGTTAATGTTCTAACAGAGCAAGTTGAGGCTCAGAATGAAAAAATTGTGGAACTTGAAAATTCCTTAACCCAAAATAAAGAACAATTAAGTAACTCTGAGGCACAGCTTAGGCAGGTTTGTATATCCATTTTAAGAAATAAGTCAGTTGAAAATTAAAATTGAATGAAACATACAAATTATATTTAATTTTTAATTGTTATTTCACAGTATAAATATACATTTTTTGTGAATGTGGGTTAGCTTAAGGCTGTTGATGGTTATTCCATTGGATGAAGATCATCCTAAATATTACTGTATAATTTTTAAATGATTGATATTAACACTGTAGTGTTTGTCTAACAAAAATTTTCCTTCAGAGATTTAAAATTGTCATTTGTATTTTATATTGATGAGTATTAGATTTGGAAATCCAAAAGTAAAAATTTTTAATTTTATTTTATTTAAACTTTTTAACTCAACATCATATCTTCACATGAAAATATAAAAGCAAAAATGTTATCTTGAAAATCTGAGAGCAATATTTAAATCATTCTTTTAAAAATTGCATAATTTAAACCATACTTTTAAAATTTAAAACCCTCATTTTAGGAACATGTAAGTAAATATCCAAGTTAGCATTTTATTTGAAAATTAATGCACTGTTATTTTAGGTATTCACATATTGTCTAAATATTTATATTTTTTAAGCATGCGTATACTGCATTTTATTTTGAAACACAATGAAAAATGAAATAATTAGGTGATAAGTATTGAAGATTTTTATAAATTATAGAATTTGTTTTTCAGTTTAGCATTTAATTTTACTTAACATTGATATTAATAGGAAATGACTTCAAGGTCATCAATAGAAAGCAGCAAACTGGATTTGATGGCGCAAATTTCTGTATTAAGGCTGCGGTTGGCCTCTGTAGAACAGGAAAAACAGGAAATTGAAGAAAAGAATCATAAACTTGAAGTACATAGAAAGTATTATTATTTCATTTAGTGAACTTTTAATATAAAATCATCAAACTTTCAGTTTAGAAATTTCCGTGTGTTATATTGTTAAATATTGTTTTCTTGTGACATTTTTCTTTTACCCAGTTTTATTGTAAAATTTTAGGGATTTTTTTAAAATTTTTTATTTCTATGAGCATTGAAATAAAGTTATGTGTAACTGCTAATTTATACGTTTTGAAGGAATGTATTTACTTATTTTTCTGATTTCTAAAAATTGCTTTTAGCTGTGCTACATTATATGTGCAGTACAATGTCTTTAATCCGGACCTCAAAGTTACAAACTTTCTGCGCATGCGTACGTTTACGCATGCGCGTTTAATGTATAAAGGACGGTATAAGCTAAGCTAAAACTATCTAATTATTTATTTCAGTTAATGTTGCAGATTGCGTTGTTCCTTAATCTAATTGGATCCGGCTTATTATTTTTTTGCAGACTGTTAGATCAATTTTATAAAAAGTAAGCTTGAACTTTCGATTATGTCAAAAAGAGTTTCCGATTCTGGAGCTGCCAAAAGATCTACAAAACGAAAGCATGTTTCGATGTACCGCTTCCGATAGTGAAGAAAGTAACAGAGAGATTATTGAAAACGAAAAAATTTCGATTGACAAGTTAGTCGGTATTCTGGACACAGCAATTACAGAACTTGAACAGTGGAACTGAACAAGAAATTATGTCTGTTTATAGAATTTAAGAGAAAGTATTAGCACAAAAAACGGAGTGACTTAAACAACTTACATTGAAAGAAATATTTAATAAAGTAAACAAATAAATATTAAGCCTTTTTTTTTTATAAATTTTGGTACCCTTTAGATCATAATTGCTCTTTATTTCATAAATTACGGTTTCATATTTTTAATTTTATAATTTCTGCATGCTATCTTACCAGATTTAAATTGATGATCTATAATCCGGAAAACCCCCTAATCAGGAATCGCCGAAGTCCCGACGAGTCCGGATTAAAGACTTTGTACTGTAATACTTTGATTTAGTTTTATTTCATTGACAACCGAATAATGTAACATACTAGTAAAAACTCAAGTTTTGACTTACTATTTAGCATGGGAAAACTTTAAATTTATTTCCAGAGTTCAAAGTTTTGTTGAAAAAATAATAACTAAATAAAATTTAGGACTTTATTATGTTGTAGCTAAATGTATATTATAATAATACAGTAGGGTTTTTTAATAATAGTATTAATATCAATAGCCAATTTTAAAAAGAGCTCTTATTTAATTCTTTTTCTATGCAGTTTAATGTAGAATTTATTCATGATAAATTATTTATGCAATTTGTGTTTAAGTACTTAAATAATAGCAGATGAAAAATTAATCTTCACAAATACTTTCTTTCAATAGTCACCATTTCATATATTTTTCATCAAGTCTTGTAAGTACATATTTTAATAAAATCTTTCTCAGAGCACAATTAAGTAAAAGATAATATGTACTTTCTCAGAGCACAATTAAGTAAAAGATGGTATCATTTGATATATTATGTTGTGATTGTTTTAATGAAAGCTTTTTAAGAATTTAATAAAACTCAATAAATATTTAATAAAACAAATGTATTTGTCAATCATGTATTTAAATGTATTTGTTATACCTTTTTAAGTTAACTTTTAATTAGGCATATAATTTTATTACTGTGCATTTTTATTTTCCCCTGGAACTCTAGCTGTGGAACTATGAGGATAATTTCATCTTTGTTCTTTTTTTTGAATGGGAATATAATATATATAAGTATTATTCTTCTGGTTTCCAATGTAATAAGGAGTTAAAGCATGTTATATTTTTTAAATAACTTTTCTCTGTTGCCTTAAATATAGGAAAATTACTTGTGGGGGCCACTACCAGAAATCATCATTATTTTGTAAATATGATTAAACAAAAGTATTTGAACACGGCCAATAATTTCGTCAAAGATAAAATATTCCTTCTATATTTTGCTTCTTTCTAAATATCCTTTATTTTTATACAGAATGAGCTTATTTTAACTTGTGCTTGTTTGGCTGAAAAAGAAGCAGATTTGGCTACAATTAAATCCAAAATAACACGTAATGGGGCTGTAACTCCTATTTTTGAAAACAGTGAGTATTCCCTTCTATCTCTGATTTACTTTCATTATATTCTGTGGTTAAAAATCTGTGGTTAAAATTCTGTGGTTATTTGCTTATTATTCTGTAGTTAAAATTGTTTATATACTAAAACCATTGCTTGTTTCCATAGATTCTGAAGTAGAAAAACTGAAAAATGCCTTAACTTCAGTTATGGCTGCTAATGATGAAAAAGTAAGCATAATTTTTTCCCTGTCATTTTTAAAAATTCTAATTTAATTTGAAAAGATGTTATTTAAGGTAAATAAAGTAACTCGAACATATTACATATTATATATCTCATTGGTTCTCAACTTTTTTTTTTTTTTTTTTTTTTTTGCTTTAAGCATCCCTTTCACCTAGCTAGATAATCACTCCCTCCTTCTTCCTTTCAAAACTCGTAAATATGCATATACATTTATTTAAACTTAGATTGCTTTTTAATGTGTTTTATAAATTAAACAAGAAAAAGTATAGAAAATGTTGATAAATGCTAAAACTTGAATATATGTGGGTTTTTTTAAATATATATATATATATTCATCAACTAAAACTAAATACTTAAAAAGTAAATAAAAGGCTGACCACATTCCTCTCCTGAAATTGTGAAACTCCTTTCCAGGACAAAATACTCTCTTAGTTGAAAATCCCTGTTATATAGACTAGAAAGATTAGCATTTCAATTTTTTTTTTTTTTACCTTATGATATTTCATATATCATTGATTGTGATATTGTTTGTTTACTGGATTATTTAAATTCCTTTCACTTTTCCGTAGTGAGTGTATTCAGCAATGTATTTAATCAGATAGATATATTACTTTCTTTACTTAGAATTGAACCCCCCAGTAATCATCTTAAGACCATAAATTTAATTTTCTGTATCTAATCCATAAAGAAAAAGGATTTTCTCACAAAAAAACATGTAAAAAAAATTAAATGATGAATAAAAAAAGGAGAGGAAGGTGCGAAAGATAAGAAAAAATGTAGAAAAAGAGAAAAGATTAAGCAAAAGAAGTGAATCTAGTTTAAAAAATCATATTAAGGTTTAATTACAATTATTATTACACACAGATGTTTAATTCATTGGTTAATCTTTTCTGTTTCACTCTACATTAATAATTACATGATGACTTACTTAGCATAAATATCATTGTTTTAATTCTTCTCTCAAATTACCCATTTATAACTCTGTATAATGATTTTATCTATTATAAAAAATGAAAAATGAATAACAAAAAGTACTGAAGAATTTAACTTTTATGCAAAAATAATCTGTAATTTTCTATTGCATAATTCAGATTGCAGGAGTATTTTATCCATGGTTGCAAAGCAAAGATTAAGTAACATTTCAGTGTTTTCAGTGTTTTCTTTAGAAAACAAAACCCTCATTCAAAAAGCATAACTTGGAGAACATTTATGCTCAAACAAACAAACTGCTAAAGATCAAAATTCCATTCTGTAAAACATGAATCAACTGTATAGCCCAATGCTCAAATGATTTGCTACTTCTTTTCCTGAATAACAAAAATTTCCATTATAGCATCAGACTTGAATATAGCTTTGTCTGATAGCTCAGTCAAAGAATTTGAATTGAATCAGAGGAGAAACCAATCATATTCTTTGGTTCAATGGTCACTTATACTATATGATGTTCTAAATACGTATGTTTATTGTGCCCTAGTTATCCTAAACTTAGGAACGCACTTGTTTTGTAGAGTTACGCTTTAGAACTAAAAAATAGAGGGGGGGGGGTGAACGTAAAAGAAAAGTAGCATAAAGATGTTTTCTTGTATAGATCCTAAACATGGCGATTTTAAGATTTAGTAATTAGAAATTTTGGATAATATATGAAAAACACAAAAAGAGTTTCAATTGAAGATATCCATATAGTTTGTTATATCCAATTTTTATATCTTTTGAAGGTTTGCTATAGCAGTATAAAATAACATTAAGTATGTGAGAAACTAGACAGGACCAAAAGATTCATTCATTTCATTATAGGGGGGTTTCACTGTAATTATTAAAGTATTACAGAAAACTTCAGTGCTGGTAAATGAATCATTTCTTAATCTTAGCACTGCTGAAACACTTCATGTGAGCTATTTTACATGCTTGTGAGCTACTTTACACAGCTAGTTAGATGACTTTTTCACTGTATTCCAAGAATGATTTTTTTTTCCCTGTTTAAATTTAAACAATCAGGATCAGTTGTAGTTGAAGGTAAAAGTCAGACAAAATGTTTAAGATTTCTAAATGTTGGGCATAAATGAAATGCATTATTACTCATGTGTATTTTTATTATTCGTGTTTTTGTATTTATTAAATTTTTAGTTGATGTTTGTGAATGGTTTAGTATATTCTACGGAAGAATATTTAAAGATGAAATAAGCAACTATCTGTAAATGATTCATCTGATCAGTTCTATCTGTGTATTAAAAATGTGATTTCTATAGTAATATATTGTAATTTGATAACTCTGATTATAGTTATTTGGATATGACAAAGCTTTCAAGAGCCTTTAGGGGAAACATGTTTTCATGGAATACTTTGTTATAAGCATGTTTAATGTTGAATCAAGTGGGTTACAGATTTGGTGATGTGGCTACAAATCTTTCAATCAATTTTGATAAGATGCACTTCATGTTCCCTGTAAAAGGCCTGTATGAATTCCTGGTAATCCTTAACAACATAACAAATTGTACATATCATGTATTATTGCAGATGGAGGTTTCAAGTAAAATTAGATGTCTCTCGAGTTTCATAAAGTATGGCACTTTGAAGAGACGAGTGTTCATAATGGAATTTGCAGTCTTTTTGCATATTGTGGCTATGGAAAATCAAAAATCTTATATCAAAATTGAAAGTTGTAGAAAAACTCCAACAGGATTTTACAATGCATTGCATGAAGTTTATGGTGATCATTTTTTATCAAGCATTTTCATGGATTTTCATGTCAGATGTGCAAGATGATCGATCCGTCAAGAAAATCAAAAACACCAATAGACTTATTACCAGAAGGGAAAAGGAGTATTGAGAAAATATGTCAAGAAATTTTACAAGCTTCAGTGATTTCACCAATATTACCTATATTGTGCTTTGGCAGATGTAATATAGAAAAGAAAAGTTTATATGTGGTGGGTTCCTCACTGCTTGATGCACGTATATTGAAATAAATATTTGAAAAGGAAATTGAAAGGTATCTGTCTCATAGTTATTCTTGTTAAAATTGGAAACTATAAATTTTTAATTAGATTTGAAATTCTGTGGAGAAGTCCATCTGATTTGCAATGCCAAATATGCTGGCATGTCCATGATATACAAAGTAAATCTAGGATTATTAAGAACTTATCTTAAAAATGAATTTAAATGTGGAAAAAGTATGTTTTCAGCATAAAGGTGACTTGCTTAGAAGTAAGCACCTCATTTCCAATACCAATATACATTCTTATTTGAGAAGATTGTAATAGATATACTAAATGAGTATAAAGTTTTACTTCTGCCATTAAAACGTTCTACAGAAGAGTCCACCAAACTTCAAGTCTTCCTCAAACTGTAAGAGAGCCTGTGAGGATATTGTTTTCTGTACCTGAAAGAGGTTTCTTCAGTGGTTATCCAAATATCTGAAGGTTAGATAAAAGTAATAGTAAATCTTTTTAACCTTAGACTGGGGCAGTTGAGAAGCAAAGAGACTAAATATAAGGACTGTAAGGAGAAACTGCCTGAAATAAGAGAAATTCATGAGGGAAAGAAGTGAATTATTTTTAATGATCTTCATATTTTGTGTTTTTCTAATAGTATTATTCAAAAAGTAACATGGATCATAATAGTAATTTTCTGACAGGAAGTACATATTAGCAATTTAATTTGTTCTGTAATGATTAGTACCCAGTAAACAGTTTGAAACTTATTAAGTTATCACACACTTATTTCAACTTAATTACATTACAAATTGATAAAGAAACATATTGCTGTAGGGTGTCTGTTTCAAAATGCAATTTTTAAAAGTAAAATTACTATTTGTTGCAAGGCAGTTTCATATAAAATGCCAAAAGGCTGCACTCAGTTTCTGAGTATTAAGAAGTGAATGTTTGTTTGTGAGCTGCAATTAGGAAGCCAAAGAGTCACAGTTTTGACATGCTTGTAATATAAGATGCTGCAAGAAAGAAGCATATTTTTCTCAGCTTACCAAGAAACCAAAAAATTATTAAAAATTTTATGCATTTCAGCATTTGCATAATTAAATGTTGTAAATGCTAACTAATAATTTTGCTTTAGTATTGTGTACTGAGTGGTTGCAAGAATAAACCATTATATCAATATTAAATAAATTAGTGTTTTAATTGTGAAAACAATAAAAGTTACATATAATTCTTAATTTATTTCATTTTGCACTTAAAGTAAATTAGATGATATCATATTCAATTTTAAAAATGTGCTTGCCTAAACAGAGTAGTTATTTTATTCATGGTTTTTCTAGATTTCTAAAAAATATATTTGAACACCATTATTAAGTCAAATATGATATATGAAATCACTTTTGAACTTCCTATATGTATATTAGTTCTATTTAAAAAAAGTAATTTTTTTTTTTAGGAAAAGAAGCTGCAAGAAATGAAAACTTCACTAAATCGATACAAGAAACTTCATGAGTTAGTTCTGTCTAATCCAACTAGAAGAGGTACTTTACAAATTGCAGTATAAATTTAAGCTTTAGGTATAAATTTTTAAAATTATTTCTTTGTTATGCAGAGTAATATGGAGCTATGAGACATAGTGATAGAAATAAAAGAATAAAAGTAGGGTGGTGGTTGTCTGAATTAGTTTAGGTAGTGAAGCAGTGTAAAATTAAAATTTATGTAAGAGAAATTTTGCTCTTTTTATTTTATATTTTACTTTAAATTGATATTACATGTGTAATACAATCAATACAACATTTTCATTAATTGGGTTTTAATAAATTGCTGAAAGTAACAAAAACATAAGCATAAAAGTACTCAGATAATCAGTAATAAACTCATTAGGGCAAAAATAGCAGTGAAAATCAGTTAAAAAAGAAGCAGAAAAATATGAATGAAAATACATCGTTTGCATAGAAGATTAAAGGAATGTATCCTTGTTTCAAAAAGAAAAAAAAAAAAGTTAATACAGTAAAATGTAAGAAATTGGTTAAAAAGGTCTGAGGAAGTTTGCTTTATTTATCTTCAGACATAATTTAATAGCTCTAGCACTTTGTGTCACTGTTTAAGCTATACCAAGGAAAGTTTTCTTTATTTTAATGAATAAACAAATATGAATGTATTAAGAGGAAGGAAGAATTATGAGCTTGCAGAATTCTGTCATACTTAGTTACAATGAATGTTATTTTATGTGTAAATTCAACATACTTTAAACAATTGTAGTATCTAAATATTCATGTAAAAATATTGCTTGTATTTTTGATAAAAAGATACTTTCCTTTTTTAATTTTTAATTTATTCTTTAAATTTTTATTTTTAGCCAATGATACAACTTCAAAAAAAGTGCCTTTTGATGAAGATAATTTCTTTTCCAATTTTGAAAATCTCTCATCATATAATTTGGGTGATATTAGTGTAAGTAAATAATTAAGTTCCACTTAATTAAAATATTTCTAAGAAACTCTGTTAAATTAATTATTTTTATTGGTTTGAGAAAGATTGCACACACTTTTTTTTTTTTTTTTTTTTTTTTTTTTTTTTTTTTTTTACAGGAACTGTCATTTGATTATAATGTAACTGAAAAGCCACCTCCTGTTCCCAGACAATTTCAACCACATTCATCAGTCTCTTTATCTCTGGCTGAAGAGTTACAGCGATCATCTTCAAGACTTGGAGATATATCTAGGCAAAGTCCTCTGTTCAGTCCCATACGGGGTGAATCACCTAGTCCTTATTCAAATCTTAATTCATATAGATATAGCAGCTCAGAAAATGTAAACCCACCAACACCCCAAAAGGTAAAAATATAAATTATATGAATTGTGGAATAAATAATGAAGTTTTTGAAAGCATGTATGTTAATAAATTGTATTAGGATGATGAATGCAAAATGTAAATTTTGTATATAATCTTTTTTAAGTTAGTAAGTCAGTTTAGTATAATAGAAATTTAGGTAAGATAATGTAAAACAGTAAGACAGATGCTAGTGATAAGCAGTCGTGAGCATTTCATGCATATTTTTCTTTTAGATATAATTCATAGAATAGAATACAGTAAAGAGGTGCAAAAGACCAGCAATTAAAAACCTCAAACAGAAGAGTATCTGATGTTTCTTATTAATAATTTGAGCCTTTACTTTTAATCCTACTGGCTTTCCGCCAGTGCTTTGCTGAAAGTAATTCAGTGAAAGTGAAATAAAAGAGGAGAATATTTTTGTTAAAGAAATACAAGAGATATCAGGAACTAAATTTTATTTTGCATTTTGTCCCGTGCACTGTACAGAGAAAGTAGTTTATAATACCAAGTGGTTACTGCAACAAAAATGAGCTTTTGTACCAATGGGATCATTTTGTCACTACATTATATTATTTTTATGCATATGAATAGTGTCCCTGTTTATGCATCGTGTGCTAATATTTATGGCATAATTGATAATAAAAATGTATTCAAATGTATGGATTTGTTTTAAGAAAACAATACATATGATGAAAGGTATATGGGAAATAAGTTAATTAATTTCTGATGGGCAATTTTTGTAATAAGAATTTATTATTTTTTAAAATATAGATTCTAATGTAAGCAGATGGAGAAATTGTATTCAGCTCTGCACCATGTCTGACTAGATGTGTCGTAATTTGATTTTCACACTAGATGTGCCATATTTTAATCTTTGTAAAATTTATTAAATAATTTTTAAATCAATATCATTATTATTATTATTTTTTATTTGATAAAACAAATTGTATCACCAATTTTTTTTTGGGGGGGGGTGTTGTATACATTTTTTTGAGTGAATATGGATGTTATTTTTTCATGTAAAAACATGGAGCAAATAGCCAGCAGTAATATTTAGGCAGCAGTAAAAATGGATTTAGGAAATTTAAACATACCTATATTTTATACTCATAGATTTGTTCTTAATACTCATTCTTATTTAAATAATTTAAATTTTGTGATTTCTCCTGTTCTGTTATTCATTTTTTAATTTTATTTATTTATTTATTTATTTTTTTTAATAGACCCCACCAGCAAAACGCCACTATTCTACACTTCCCCGTCCACATGGAACAGACATACTTCAGAAATATATCAAATCACCCAGTGAGTCTTCCCCAGTTGCAATAACATCAGGTATGCAGCCTGTGCATAATTTATTTTTAACTGTTGTAGTATTTTACTGAAATTCTTAATTCATGATTGATTTTTTTATCAGTAGTTGTAAATCACTAAAAGAGATTGCCTTCTTAGTGAACTTTTTAGAGCAACCTAGCTTCTATTTACATCTTACAGCAAGTATTTCCAAATAGCAAATGTTTTGGTATTCGTGCTGTTTTTCTCATAATTTTATAGTTCCATGTTTTAGTATTTCCATGTTTTGTATATGTGCAATTTGTTGGTTGTATTTTATTTGATCAGTGTGCAATCATAATACTAGCTATTATTCATCAATTTAATGTAGTGAATACTGGGAAATTTTGTAATAAAAGTAAATAATATTTTACTAGTAAATATATGTATTAAGTTGTCCTGAGGTACTATTAAATTAAAAATGTTCTTTTTATCCTAAATTTTGAATATTTGTTGCTGAATATAAGTCTGTATACATGTATAGGTTACAAGATTTTTTTAATAATGAATTTTGGAAAAATGTGATGCATTTTTAGGCCGGACTTCTCAGTCATTCCAAAACCTACACCACCCTAGTAATGAAACTCTCAGACCAGTTCGCACAAAAGCATCTTCTGGCATGTCCTTTGGTAAAGGATTCTTTAAAATAAGATTGGGAAAACGCAGTTCAAGTGCACCAGAATTAGGTGATGGTTTCTCTCATGCATCTTTTATCTGTTTCTTTTGCATGTACTTTTTGAATGAAAACTATCTTTCTCAGGTGCACTCTCAAGATCTGCTACAAGTATGCTTCTCTTAATAATTGTTTCATGCTATTAATTTTTAATTTCATTTCTTTCTAGTGCTTCCGTTTCTTGCTCATGTGCATATCAGTTCTAACATACACAATCTTGAAATTTCTATACCTGTGATTATGATTTCACTTTTGATTATAACAGGCTGATAAAAAAGCAAATATATAGTTTTTATTGCAGCTTTTTAATAAATTTGGAATTATGTTCTTGATATTCTCTAATTAGCACATTTTAATATTTAAAATGTAATACTGATACATGTGATGTAATTTTTAGAAGTTACATTTATAACCTTTTAAGTACTTTTAATATTCATTATGTATTACAGTAAAATTCCTAAAAAAATTGTGCAAACTCTACTATATAATTACTTTTTCAGCTTTAAATTTATTCTAATTTTAGATATCAGTTAGTGTAAAGAAGTACTTAATATAGTTGCTTAAATATATATTGTTTCTCGTGTATTAAAGACTTTGAAATGCGTCTGCAAAATGCTAAAATATTTCATAATTTCTAGGTCAAAGATTTGAAAAATACTTGAGTTTATTTCTGTAAAAAATATTTCAACAATGATTTATAAAGTATTATGTATTGAAGTAAGCATAGTGTGTGTGGAGTTTATAATTGTGCTCTTTTCTCTTCACATAAGGTTGTAAAAACTGTATTTCAGAGACGAGTACCATTCATTTTTGTGTGAAAAGGGGGATGATATGCTAATCTCTGTTATATTTTTTTAATTTGTTGAAAAAAATTACAATATATATCAGTTAATGGTTTTCTGTATTGTCATTTGCTTGCATGTAGCAGAAATCCTATTTCTCAGGTTTATTCTTGAAATTCATTCCATGCCTTTTATGATTTCCAGGTTCAAATTTCACAAGAACTTTCTATTAAAAAGTTGTGAATTAGTCACTGCATCTAGAAGAAACTGCTACTGTCTTTAAGTTTATTTCCTCCTTAAACAAGTGAAAATTAAAAAAAAAAAGTTCAAAATATCTTTAAAAGAAGATCCATAAAAGAAGTCTTATGTGCCTTCTCACTATCGGCAGATACCTAACTTGAGTTACTTTCCCGTAATCAGTTAACCTAAACTATTTGCCACATGAAAAAGTTCAGTACAGCCCTCTTCACATAATCTAAATAGAATCTCTATATTTTAAAATTAGGCATTTTCTGGCATGCTCTTCATCCTTAAATTGATATAAATTCCAATTAAGATTGCTTTTGTTGCTTCATTTTTAATTTGGCATTAAATTTGTCTCTTTTAATTCTAAATAATGTCTTTTGTAGGAATTTTTTAAGGACAAATATGAAAAAAATTTCATAGTGAGACATCTAGGTAGAAGGAATGAGAGCTTCCTTTATCTCAGCATCGTTGAATGGCAGTACTTTGATTACCTCTTAAAAATATTTATATTGTCATGAAATCAGTCACACACATCGGTATAACAGAAACATAATTATTTCCTGAAGCAGAGATTATTTATGCACTGCCTGTCAGAGAAAAGGCCACACTATGAAAGAATGATCGGAAACATTCCATATTTCATACATAGATCTTCAAGAACTTTTTAATTCTCAAAGATGTTCAGTGATAAGAATCTTAGATATGCAATGCATCAATAAAATGTGTTTGCCCCATTTGGGGTAATACATTACTTGAACACTTTGTTGCATCGACCCGAAGAGTAACTGAATCATGTCCAGTGATGTTGTGCCCCATGCACTGTTTATGTGATTTGACAGTTTGTCTTCATTTCTTGGTGGAAGAAGAATATTCAGATAATGCCCAATGATGGCTCACAATTGCTTGATTAGTGAGAAGTTGAGGAATCAAGCTGGCCAACAGAACACTTTCATGTCATGCAGTGCATTCGGGATGAGTTGTGCAGCTTGTGGCTGGGGGCTAGTTTGTTGAAAAATGGTGTTTGAGATGTTCTGGAGGTAGGATAGAAGAGGGGGTTGCAGTACATCATCAGTTTCACAGCCTGTCATTAATGTAATATGCTTTGAAGATAAACAGCTGTTAGAGTTCATGACACACCACTGATGGGCTAATTGTCATTTGAAAATGGTACAGGCATCTGCCTAGTGGTTATGTTACCTCCACTAGACATATGCCACATCGTCATGTGCCAATCATTATTTGTGAGGCAAAAATGAGTGAGTCACCTGACTTAATCCCCTTGAGTTATTTTCATCTTGTAAACACACTTATTTGATTGTAATGGTTGTAATCCAAAATTTTTGTTTTTATTTAATTTTTTATACCTTTGTCTTCCATTTTGTTTCAAACCATAGACTTTTGCAAAGTATAAACATAGTCAGGATTATTTGGTCTTCAAAACCTTTGGCATGTTCCATGAAAATTTCTTCTTTTAAATCTCCGTTAACATAAGCCATTACAAAATCACTTACCTCTGCTATTGTAACTGCTTTGATGCTTGTATATATGTGTGTGTGTGTTTAATATTTTAAGTGCACAGTCGTGAATCTGGTACTTTAATTCCTGCCATTCAAAGACAGTGGTGGGTGAGGGTGAAGGCTTGATGAAGCAGCTAACAAAACTGAATTGAAGAATTGCCATCTAGATTTTTACACATGTCAAATCATCTCTTTGGCTGACTAATTAGTTTTCAATCATCGTTGAATATAATAAATTTTTATGTAGACTGATTTTAAAAGTTGAATAAAGTCTAAAACATAAGAGCTTAAATCCACTTTTGGCATATCTCCAAAATGCATGTTAAAGAAGAGAATTTCTGTGCCGCATAGAATCTTGGACTGAAAGATGGGTTCTTTATAGCATTTGCAAATGTTTTAAATAATGGTGACATAATTTGAAAGTAATGAAATGCAAGTGAAATCTAAATTGTATCATCAATAAGCCTTTTTATCATAAGAATGATGTACAGTTGCAGTAATTCTAATTTCATCATAAATGTATTAAACATCTTTATTTTGTGAAATTTAAGGGGCTGATTGCTGACTGATACTAAAAACAAAACTTTCATGATATAAAGCTTCATGATATGCTTGAAGCTAGGAAATTTGTGTCCTATACATTTTTGAAAGATTTTAGAGTTGTCTTATATTTTTACTTATGGTCAGATCCTCAAATTGTCTTCTAAACAGAGTTTACAAAATGCTTCACAAATGAAATTGGGGTAAAGAATATAATTTGTGAATGTGAGCAGAGCCGTTCCTAGGTGAAAGAGTGCAGCACATAAAAGTATGCGAGTGGCCGGACTCTCGGGATACCATGTCTAAATATTTTAAATTCATTAAATTCACTGTAAGTACTTTATATACTATTTGTCATATATAAGTACTTAAAGAGTATGAAATAAAAATTTTATTAATCATTGAGCATTTTTTTTTTTTAAAATTTGGGGGCAACAATCTTAGGAACATACGTGGGCAGCCAATGGCCTTGAAACATCCTTGAATGTGAGTTCCCATTTACTAAAATTCTGAGTTTCATGTCTTGTAATCTACGACCAAAGTGCATTGAAAAATTCAATGGAGTATGTTTTAATTGGTAATCTTGCTTTCTTAGCTAGGATTTTTCAAATAGAAAATGGTTGTTTGTATTTAAATTCTGAATGCAGCAAAAATTTTCAAATTATGCATCATTTAAAGAAACAATATAAGTAATTTTCTAAAAAAAAAATAGGTGTTTCATGTAATATGGAAATCTACAATTTTTAACTTACATATATGCATTAATTAATTAATTTTTAATAGCGCCTGAGAGATCAGAGATTCTACCAGAATTGTCCAGAACTGGACAACCCAGTGCACAAAAAGTATCTTCACCTGCATCTCCTGTTGTGCCCAAAGATAAACCAAAAGGATTCAGAAAAATATTTGGAAAGTAAGGCACAATTTTTTGATATAATCAGATTGTACATTCATTCTCGTTTTTTTCTCTTTTTCTGCTGAGTAGACGTTGAAGCCATCTCTCACTGTCTTATGTAAAATGGCGTGAATATTCATAAAACCCGGGGCAAATTCAATTAGAAATAGAATGCTTGATTAGTGCTACCCTCTAGGAGGTATTAGAACAAACAAAAATAAAAACTCAAACAAGTAAATGTTTAGAAAGTGTTTTAAATGTTAAAAGCTTTAAAATGTAGAAGAACGCTTGAGGTGCATTACGGCCACCCTGCGGAAGTTTCACTTAAACGCGCTAGATGCGTTACGGATGACGAAGAGGTTAATTTACTTGATGCAAGCTAGAGGGAGCCACATATGCTTGAGAAAGGCTAGGGATAGAGATAAATATAAACAATTAATAAAATGAAATTATAGTTTTTATAATAAACTTTTTTGTAGTTTTATATTTTAAGATTTTTGTTTTTTATTTTTCATAGTTTTTTATACACAATGCAAACACTAAAGCAAAAAGTGGATAGGAACGATTTTACGATTAATAGGTTAGGATTTTACGATTAATAGCTAATCATGACATAAATATGGTCAATATGTTTGCAAAATCTTCTTCAGTTTTGAACAGCATTTAAATAAAATAAATAATTTGTGTATGATGCAAACAAAAAATGCATTACACTGTTTCATGTGGTGAATAATTAATCAGGGAACAAAGTATAATGTAACATTCTTTTATTTTGTAACCAGAGTTTTTTTATGTTTGGGATCTTTACTGTCAATTTTCCCATCTGTTTTCCCACCAAAATCCAAATGAAGTTTTTAGTTTGTAAAACAAACTGTGTTTTGCCTTTAGAGGCCACGTTTACTAAGTTGCTAGATAAGATAAGATTTGTAGTCTTCAGTCCTGCATTATAATTGCTGATAGTTGAATTCCATGCCAGTTAAGTTTTGAACCAGCTTTGTATTAAATTGATTTGTGTAGTCTTAGGCTACAAATTTATTTGAATTTAAATTTAACATTTGAACTTAATTGTTATCATAAGTTATCTTGCCACAAGTGGTTGACTGAGTCGTAAGCACAAAGTGTGCCTTCTGTTCAGTACATTTAAAGTTTTTAATAGAACAAGAGTATATCTTAATAAAAATATACCTAAACTTTATAATAATTACATTTAAAGACAGTAATAATAATAATATATAACTTATAATAATTACATCGTCGCTAGGGCATTTTTTGCGCTGTTGTAGCTTACAATAACGAGAATTAGCATAAAACATGGGTATCAAAGAAAAATGCAAATGTTGTGCGATGACAGCACCAGTAATAGGGGCTATCGAAGCAAGCAGACAGCTCCGACAAATAATCTTCGACCACGTCTGGCATGAGGGGCTAATTTACAAGTTAATAAACTTAAATTTCAGCAGTGAGTTGATAAAAATTATACACTCTTTTCTGTCCAACAGGACGTTCTATATTCAAATTGGTGAAAGCACTTCAAATAAGAAGCATGTGAAGGCCGGGGTCCCACAGGGATCTATTTTAGAGCCTGTGCTCTACTTATTCTACGTGGCAGACCTACCTGCAGAATATCTGGATCAATATTTCTTCATGGGTTGCTATGCAGACGACACAGCTTTTGCTGTCAAGTCTGGGTCGCCAAATTTTTGCCATAAAGAAACTACAAAGATTTATGCCCAAGCTTGAACAATGGTGCGCCATGTGGAAAATTGCAATTAATGCTGACAAATCCAAACTTCTGATTTTTAAGAAAAATAAAATGAACCATCTCTTGACTGTCCAGCTGGTGCTCTTTGATACTGTCGTTCCTGTTTTCAAAAGCGCTACTTATTTAGGACTAAAATATAATTCAAATTTCCTCTGGAAAGATCATATAAATTGCGTCAGAGGCAAGACTATTGGGGTCATTCAAAGTCTTACGCCGCTCTTGTCTGCGACCTCCAGATTAGATATAAAGAGGAAAAGGCATATATACAATTCCATAATTTGTCCTATTTTTGCGTACGCATCTCCCGCCTGGGCAACAGTTCAGAAAAAGGAGTTAAGCAAGCTTCAGATTATTCAAAACAAAGTTTTAAGAATGATAACCAACGCACATTATTATGTCTCCATTCAGACCCTGCACTGAGACATTAAAATGGAGTCCATTGAAATGTATCTGCATAAGGCCAATGTTAAATTCTTTGAAAAGGCTCAAGAATGTAATCATATGTCTGATCTTAGTGTTTTGAACTATGTAATTCTTGAGGAAGATGCATCGTTACGACCACTCGCGGCCCACCTCGCCCGGGACTTAAATTTCCCCACGTAATATATCATGATAATTATGCACAGTTCTTGTACGTAGTGTATATAGTGTATATATATATATTCAGGTTCTCAATTGTATTTTGCATCAATATTTTGTATCCTTTTAATTTTAGGTTATTTGTAGTTATTATTAGCAATATTGCATGATTATGTTTATTTTATTTATGTTTTGTATTACTTCACATGTCATGATAGAAATTGTCGGATATTGTCTGTGTCTTCTTTAATGAAACAACACAAACATGTCACACTGATTCCTCACGGCTCCTGTTTCATGAATTTCTCGCTGCGCTTGCCTCTCAATGGCTTTGCGACTCATGGTCGCCCCCTGTAAACCACCTTTGACCTCTCCAAATTGTCAAGAATGATCAACGTCATGTGCCCTTCAGGCTTATTTTCAAGAGGCTTATAAGTTGCGCAGTAGCGCGACATTTCGGCAATAGCCGTACAAACTAGACTATAATCTCAGCTGAAGTAAACGAGCTCCAGTGGACATGCCTCTCACGTTACCGGAATGTGCGTTACTGGTGAAGCTGTATTACATGAATGAATGGAATGCATCCGCAGCTCTTCGGGAGTTTGGAAACCAAAAAAAAAAAAATTATGAAAGGAGCCTTTATTGCTGAATGGTCTTAAGAAAACGATTAAGAAGTTCGAGGAAATGGGGTCACTGACCATTCGCACTGGGAGAGGACGTAAACCAGTATCAGAAGATGTAATAACTGATGTGGCAACTGCAATTGTCGAAGGATCACAGGGAACCACTGCTGGTACTAGCAGCGCCTGGGGTGTAGTTCGACAATTGGACATGAATTATTCCACGGCATGGAGAGTTTTGCGGCACATTATTGGATTTTACCCCTACAAAATCAGCCGCTTGAACGAATTGAAACCAAGTGATTATGATAAGCAAGTGACATTCGTTCTATAGTTTCTTGCCAGGGTAGAAATTGATGATGCTTTCCCATTTCACATTCTGTGGGGATATGAGTGCCATTTTTATCTCAATGGATCCGTAAACACACAAAATAACCGAATTTAGGCTTCTGAGCAGCCCCACACCGGGTACAAAATCCCATTAAATTCCCCAAAAGTTAGTGTTTGGTGTGGTTTCACAACCGAATTCGTGATGGGCCATTCTTTTTTGAGACCATCACTACGACAGGACCGCAAACCTGCACCATAAATGCAGAAAGGTACCACAAAATGCTGCAAACGTTTGTTATTCCATAAATTCAACAAAGAAACATTCTCCAACAGACAATCTTTATGCAGGATGGTGCTTCACCACACATTAGTAATAAGATAAAGCAGCTGTTGCGCCAAAACTTCACTGATGATAGAGTCATAAGTGGCAGTTTTCCAGTTGCATGGCCGCCTCATTCCCCTGACCTCATGCCATGCGATTTTTGCTCCGGGGTTATTTGAAATCTCAAGTTTATCTTGGTGGAGTATGAAATTTGTCTATTCTAAAGGACAACATAACAAAGACAGTGCGGAATAGTCCTCGTGATATGTTACATAAGGCTGTGGAGAACGTTGTGCATAGAATGCACAGTGTTATTTCTGAGAACGGTGCTCACATTGAATGTGGTCCAGTTCCTCACTGGGAAAGTTAATGTAGTAAATAAACATTAATAATTTGACTGTACGATTATATGTCTTGATGTCCCATTCTTGATTAGTCTAAATACAGAGTTTAGTGCCATTTCGGCTATTAGATCGCGCTACAGGGCGCTCCAAACACTGTCACTTAAAAAAGATCACCCCGTACTTATTTCTTTAATATATATTCTGTGCTTTAAAAAAAATGCAGTGCATCTTCAATGCCATTTTAGTGCATTTAAATTCAATGCATTTTCTAAAATTCTCACAGTTCTTATACTATTATTGAAATCAAACATAAATGATCAAATTGTGGAAAAAAATAAATTAATGATTGAATAAGCTAGACAGCAGTATGTTTGGATATCATATAAAAATAGTATTGCGTATGCAAATCTTTTATACTTCATAATATAGCAAAAAAAAAAAAAAAAAATTGTGCGGAGGTGCATTCTGTAATATTATGTAACAGTCCATAAAATAGCAATACTAGCATTCCGTACTTATTTTTTTTACCTTTAAAATGATAAATGAAATATCTATTTCAAGAGATTATAAAGCAGAACTTTTTTTTAAATAATTTAGAGTTAAACGATCAGGATCTGAAAGCTTAAATTCTTCAGAAGCTGAGTTTAAAAGAGGTGGCATTAGAGCAACTGCTGGGCCAAGACTTGGATGGACTGAAGATTTTAAAGCAAAGCATGATAGTTATATGTAAGTATACTGAAGTCTTTTACATTATTTGATCTTAATAATTATAAAAGAAAGTTTTCAAGTACAGTATAAAATTGAATTTGGTTTTAGGATTATTTCTATCAGTTTTTGGAGTGTACATGCTAAATAAAATTTTGATTGATATTGTTAGAAATACTATATATATGTAAATAATCTTACTAAAATTATATGTAAATTGTAGTAGCTCTTGTATAATGTAACATAAAAAGCCTCAGGAATGCTAAGCTTCACCGAAAAATATCAAGATGCGGAGCAAGTCCATTTAGCAAGTCCAGTTAGTGTATTTTTCCAAATAAATGGCTGTCTCGCCATGAGATAGTGCCAAACTAACAGTGGCTTTGGCAATTAATTTTCATAGCCAAATTTAGCTAAAAATTGCCAGAAGTTGGCAAACTTGGTGATCACATATGTAACTGTAACTGTGTATGCCTTCCAGTAATTTCGAGAAATCGAAGGTACTAGAAATTTCATGGTAGACGAGACAAAATTATATATGACCAAAGAGAGCATCAGTTCTCAGCTTCTTCAGAGTATTGAGAGGTTGTCACTGTGCGAGTTTATGCATTTGAGGCCTTTTTGTATTGTCTTGTATTTAATATTCTTAGAAGTATGAAGTGGTAACTACTGATCATGCGCTGTCATACCAAAAAGAGCTGTATGAGTATTTTTGTGAAAATTATCAGAATCATAAACTGTTTCTTTTGGAAAAATAAGTTTTATCAACCTATCACTGGTTCTGTGTGCATTCAATCCATTATGAACCCATACCCTCATAACAACATTATATTTCAAATTATAGTTGAAGTGTTTGTAAACAACAACATTATATTGTACATAAAACATTCACTATAGAGAAAAAAATATTCAAACTTAGATTTATTTGGCTCTAATTACTTAATAAATTATGGAAGTGAAATAATAGAGGATATTCTTATCCATTGACAACTATGCTTCTTTTTTGGAGGTTCTCTGAGATTAAGAGTTCTACTGACACAATAAGATAGTTTCAGATTTTCAATAATTATAAAGAAGCACACAAATAGTATCATTATAAAATCTGGCAACATCATTTATAAATACACTAATACTGCATTATTTGCTATCTATTGCTATCTCTGATACACTTGAAACTCTAAATTTATTTATTTAGTAGTTTTTCTCTATTACAAATGTTATTTTTTAACATATTCTATACTTTTAAAAAGAAGTCGTAAAAAAAAAAATAAATAAATGCTTTAACTCAAAATTTTGAAAAAGTAAATTTTATTTAATAGAAGTGTTCATTAATAAGAGAACACAATTGTTTCAATTTCAGTGGACCTGGATCACCAGAGATTGTAATGGCTCTGAGTGTCAGATTGTTATTTTATGCAGTTATAGGAGTTTCATGTTTGTTAACTTTTGAAATAATCATTTCATTTCTGCAACTGCTTTTTAGAAAGATTATGTAGAAAACTTTTGAATCTTTACTGAAGTGTATTTTTTCTTTTTTCCATGGTCAAATGTTAAGAAAATGAGCCTCAAGATTCACGAGTTTTAATTAAATACTCTCATTTCTACTTTTAAACATTATTAACTTTTTGGATTATTGAAATTCTTCTGTAATATTGTACTAAAGTATTTTCTCTTTAAATATTTTTTTTTCTTAACAATCCTCCCTTTTCTCTAACTTTCGTTGTTGTAAGAATTTAGCATATAATGCATAACTGTAAATAGCATGTATTAATGCACTGTTTATGTGATTGTTAGATATCAGATTAATAATCTGGGTAATAATGGTTAAGCTTTTGGTGCGATGAAAAGTGTACAAATTTTCAGTCACGCAAAACCTCTGTGTAATTCAGGGATCAATAATATTTTGAATTAAGCAATAAAATTAAATTAGAGTAGCAGTTATGAGTAAAAACATTGTACATAATGACTACTTTTTATTTATTTGTAACCATAAAATGTGATTTAGGCTGACTGATATGCATCCTACAAAATTTATGTATTGATAACAAAAGAGCTAAACTGTAATTGCTAACAGAAAGATATAAGGTTTAATTGTAAATTGAGTTATAATCAGTAAATTTATTGAAAAGAAATAAGTAAAGACTGTTTAGTTTGTAAGACTGTTTCATAATAATTTAGTGTATAATAAATTGCAGATACATTGTTGATTGTTTGGCGGCCTCATGGTATCATCAGTAATCGATGATAGGAATCAATTGCTTCTAGTCTACACAGTATGGAGTTGTTACAGGCAATGTTCCCCAATAGGGCTCTTGTAAATGTTATTGTTCTTTTAGCTGCTGTTTGTAGTTGGTTTTGGAATGGGCGACCTACTGGCCTATAGCTTGATACTTAAACTGGACTGTCAGAAACAGCTGTTCAGAGAGTGATGTCTTTAGTGCATAGTGAGCCATATGCTACAAAATCTTATTAAACATCATAAATGTTTTATGGCATATGCTGTTATATTTATATTCATAATGTAGCAAAGAGAACATTGCTTAAAAATCTACAACATAAGCAATTAATTTTTTCTTTGGGATATTATGACTTCTTTACTTCTTTGAAACAATTCTAGCATAATGAGAAGCATCTCATATAGGATTTATGTATTATTTCAAGTCTGCATTAGAATAATAAACATTCTGAAACAATAGAACTGAAGAGGTACCTTTACTATAATGCTGAGCTAACTACTTTGGGAAACTGTTAAAGTGTCATGTTGCTTTCTAAGTAAATTCAAACTGCAATAAAAGCAGCAGAAGTTGACCATGCAATTTCTACTGTATCCCATTACATTATAATTATTTTTTATGCAAATATCATTTACCTTTGCATTTACTGTCACTCTCAGCAGTACATTGGGTAAAATGTTCTGATTCTTTCTTTGATAAATATGTGGCAGTTGACTTATATCTGTCACTGGAGGCTTTGTCCATATGAAGTTCAACTTTATTGGTATCCTTTCCATATAAAATATTAGAATTTCTTCTTGAAAATTTGGTTCTAAAATATTCTCCTGATTGTGCAGTGAATTAATTTTAGCCTTACTTGAGATTTTTTTAACTTTTACCACTGTTACAAAATTCTGTAACTATCATGAATCCTGTTGAGAACATTTCTGTACATTTATGAAACCATTTTGAACGATAATTTTTCATCAGTTGAGTAACAAAAGATTGCTCTCTCTCTTTTTATTTTTAATTAGTCAGTTAAATATCGAGTGTTAGCACAAGTTTCCATTTATCTCGTTTGATTAAAATTTTTATTGAAGGTTTTTTTTTCCTAGTAAATGATAAATTTTGCTAGTAAATGATTAATTTTTTTTTTGCTCTAGTAATGATATTTTTTCTAGATTAGTAGATTAGTATATACATATATTCTAGGTATTTATGACTGATGATAAAGTGTATCTTTCAAAAGGTTTTTACTGGTAGTTTATGTGATTTATCTATAAGACTTCCCTCACTCTGCCCATTTGTCCCAAATTTAAAAAGTGTTTTTTTTTTTCCTGGTAAATGTGCTTTTTGTCATTTTTATGTATGTCTTATTATATCCATTATAAGATGTAAAATTTTGTTTTCTTTAAAAATTTTTGAAGATACAGCGTCATTGCTCCTGTTAATAATTTTCTACCCTCCCCCTTTTTTTTCCTTTTACAGAATAAACAAGCCTTTCTCAGAGTGGGATTCAGCTATGATATGTGATTGGTTTCATAGCATTGGCCTTGGTATGTATGCTTCTGAATGCAAAAAGTGGGTGAAAAATGGAGACCATCTACTAAAAGCTTCAACAAGTGATTTTGAAAAAGTAAAAATTTTGATTTTGTTTGACTTTGTATTTAGTGCATAGGTGGCAGCCATTGTGCTATATCAGTGATGATACAGTGAATATTTTTGAATGAGAATGGATTTTCTTGTAACAAATACATTAATTGATAAATTCTTTTGTGTTTTATTAATTTTCTTAAAATAATTTTTTTATCATAAATTATCAGCAGCTTGAAAATACTTCTGTTTGCTCCTTAATGTACATACACCACTATACTTTGCATAGTTTGTGTATATAATCTCTGCAAAATAGCCCGTTAAATAAAATCATGTTAATTGAATATACATATTCATCCATTTGTTTGTCAAAATCTCTTTTTGTATTTATTTTCTTTTTAACTACAAAAAGTTCTTCATACTTTACGGAAACGATTTTGATAGCTAATTTTTACATATAAAGGGTAGATTTCTTGCCATGATTTGTTTCTATCTGATAAGCTCTAGCTTGATTTCCTTAACAATATCTTGTCAATTTTATCTTGTTCTTCTTGAGTTACTTTCCAAACTTCATTCAGTGTTCTTGGATACTGTTTTTGTAAGGCTTGTTTTAAGAAACCAAAAGCACAAAAGTCCATAGGAGAAATGTCAGGTGATTTCACAGGTATTTTGTTAAGTGGGATACATTTTATTTCTGTTTCCGATTCATTCTATGCTGAATATGTGCGGTTGATTGAGATGTGCAACTAGAGGCTTTGTCTATATGAAGCTCAACTTTATTGGTGTCCTTTCCATATAAAAGGTAGGAATTTCTTCAAAAATTAGTTCTAAAATATTCTGATGATAGTGCAGTGAATTAATTTTAGCCTTACTTGAGAATTTTTTAACTTTAATTTATCACTGTTGCAAAATCCTGCAACTATCATGAATACTATTGAGAACTTTCCTGTACAGCGATGAAACCATTTTGTGTGATAATTTTTCATCTGTTGAGTAATGGAAAATTCTTTTTTTTTAGGGGGGTGGGGGTGGAATTACAGTCATTTAAATATCAAGTGTTAGCACAAATTTCCATTTATCAGCAACTAGGTGCTTTTCATAAAATGTTCTATAATTTATTATTTGTATGCTTTGCCAAAAGATGATGAACTTTAGCTTTAAATATGTTTCTTAAACTTCAAATCTTTATGAATGATTTTACTTACAGTGCCAGAAGACATTTATAGTTTTAATGCAATAGCTCTTTGAGTAAGTGGATTTTCTTTAGGTTCAGAGACTTCACTTTCTTGATATTTACCTTATTTGAACAGTTTTAGAATGCGGTTTTATGAACACTTTTTTGATTTTACTTTCAGCTAGATTTTTCCGCCTTTCAAATTTAATATACAGTAGAGCACCATTTATACACCTTTCAAGGGGCCATTCACTAACGATGTATAAATGAGAAAGACATATAAATGAAATTTTAGTTTATGATGTGAAGCATACATACAATAGTTGCACAGTTTTGATATTACTAACCTACTATTGATATTACACAATTTTATTATCGTACTTTCAGTTTGTTTAAAATATTAACTAGGTTAAGATAAATATTTAGTTAATATTTTAAAGAATTTTTTTATAATCAACATTTTAAAAATGATTTTAATAAAAATTCATACACTGCAAATTTCTGTATGTAGTTACATAAAACTTTATAAAAGAAATTTGATTTGGGCAGTATATGACTTTCTTGTACGGCCTACTAAATTATACATATTTTTGGCTGCACTTCATTTAAACTTATTTCCTCGAATTATTCAAACATAAGTAAAAGATCCCTTATGGCAAGTTAAATATGATATCAAAGATTGCAAATTTTGAAATTAAATATTCCAGTCAATTTTAGTCAGTAAATTTTTGTCATACGGGAGTCGGACTTTTTAAATTTTTTTTCTTCATACTGAATATAAAACTTTCCCAACCATAAGTATAGGAACTAGGAGACGACTATATTAAATGTTAGATTTTGTTATTTATTTGAAACTATTTTTTTTTTTTTTTTTTTTTTGTTTGTTTAAGTTTGGCATTGGCAAAGCATGAATGTTTTCATCATTTAAAACACTTCTGTATGACTATGACCAACAATTTAGAAAATAAAGGCTGGATAAAAACATTTAAGCCATATATATAATTTTGGCGCAGCCGATCGCAGTCAAAAAGGGAGGTCCATAACTAGAAGTTACAGCAGTCTCATATACAAAAATCAATGTTTTATGGTATCGTTTGTTATTATGTTATTGTTTTTAAGTTATATGAGGTGCATACGTATGTATGTAAAGACATCATGAAAAAATTCACTTTGAATCCATTTTACTACTTGTTTTAAAAGAAAAAAAAAAAAAAGCCCGTACATACAGATAACATGCAAAAATTAGTCAAAATGGATTTGGGAACTGCAAAATGTATATTACTGTTTAAATATGGTACCCGAAACTCTTCGCGATAGCAATACTTCCTTTAATTCATTCAAAGAAGTGAAAAAGTTTATTGAATTACTATCTTGAATAACTAAAAAAAATTTTTTTCCAAGAACATTTTGAAGCAAAATTAAACTTTTTTTTTAAAGAAAAATTTTTTAATTGTCATTTGACTTCTCTTTGATTCTGAATCTTAAGCAAAGTGCTATGAATGAAATTCAGTTTTTGAAATGTTTTCTTGCATTTCTATTATTACATTATCACATTTCTATTATTACATAAAAAAAATTCTGATGGTGTCAATGCAGTAGACAACATTTTGGAAAGAAGGTGCCATTGTTTCTTCATTTTCTTCTTCATCTCACTACTTAAATGTTCCTTTGGTAAAATGTTTTCAGTTAGTTCTTCAACTTGAGTCTAGGCAAATGAAATCATATTCATAGCCTCAAAAATAATTAAATTTTTCTGTATATTTCCTGTAGTTACATTTTGAAGGGCTATTTGCATCAACCTTTGCCTGTAGAACATTTTCAAATACTTGATGACACCCAGATCTAAAGGTTGTACTACACTGGTGCAATATTCCAGGGAGAGGAGGGGGATAACTTTCACATTTTGCAAGAAATCTTTTGTTTGAGGATAGGCAATACACTAATCCATAAAAGCAAAATTTTGTGGGTTTTGTCTCATAAATTTGTCTATTTTCTTGAGCCCATTCTGTAAAAATATCCATAATCATCCATGTTTTCTTATTTGCTTTATATTTTAATTGCAGAGTTTTAACATGTTTGAAGCACTTTGTTTTTTGTGACTTTCCTGTAACTAAAAGAGTAATTTTTTTCTGTATCACCAGCATTTTCACTAAGTAAAACAGTGAGATATTCTTTACTTTGCTTAGCTTCATGACCCTGGTCACCTTTAAAAGCTAGGAGGGTTCCTGCAGGCATAAGCTAAAAGAAAACGACACTTTCGTCAACATTAAAAATGTCTTTTTTTGCCATCTATTTTGGTGGATAAATACTTGAACCACTCTTCAACTGACTCAGCAAGAATGTTTTTTGATTCTTCAGTTATTATATGACATAAAATTCCATCCTACAGTTTAAAATGCTAACAAGGAAATTTAAATAAATTGTTTCTGTAAAGTGCAAACAATCCTGTTCGTATAAAATTAAAAGGAAATAAGATGAAACCTGAACATTGAATCAACTACAGCATTTATTGGAATGCTGCCTTTTTAAGTGTATCCTCTTCATTTGGTAGTTTCCCTCAGATACAAAATAGAAGGCTTTTTATTTTTGAAATAAATGAAAATTAGTAACCAGTAATCCTCACTTTTGCTTCTGATTGGCTAAGGTGTCGTGCTATGAGTGACTGCTTGGTTCTCGGAGTAAATTATTATGGTTTAAAGTTTTTTGAATTATTGGTGTATTTTCTAAGAAATGTTCCTTAATTCTTTTGATACTTTTGTATCTGATGATGCTTTTAATTGTTGCTTCATCTTTTCTGTAGTACAAAGCAGTTTTTCAAAATGTAAATTCATTTTATTTTTGGAGGTCATGTTTCCTTCAAAAACGTGTGAAAGGCCTTTTTAGTTTGCTAGTTAACACTACAGTCTTGTGCTGTCATCATGTAATGAGAATTGTAGTTGCATAACTGCTGCTTCTGTAACTTGTGTAGATGATCTTGAGAGTAGAATCATAGTAGTAGTTAATGCAGTGGTAAGTTGTAGTCCCAATTCATAGGCTAGTTATGCTCTATAATGCCTTATGGGTTGTGTCAAGGAACAGCATAGTATTTATGATGTTAAAAACAAAATGTCCTTGGTTGACATAGTAAAACCTCATTCAAACATGAGTAAAACAGAAGCTTTTGCAAATATGCAATTATTTAGACATTATTTAGGTATTGGATTCAGATGCACATTATTGTATAATATAATTATATATATTGTATTATATTATTTTATATATATTGATAATAGTTATTATATATATTGTATATATTGTATTTTATATTTATTATATTTATTATATATATTGTATAATAGTAGATTTAAATCTTATATACTTGAGTATAACTTTTATTACTTGTTATACAGTACAAAGTCTGAAATCCAGATGTTCAGTATCTGGAATAGAGTAATATCTGAGCCTCTGGACAACCAGCAATTTTTTTTCTTTTTAGGAATTTTTTGCAAAAAGAGAGAATGAGTTGGATGGGAAAGTAATGCGTCACTTTAGGATATGCTTGTCACTTTAGGATATTCATGCATGTACAGTAGATATTTTTTTCATAGTAAAGTATGTGAAAAATCTTGATTCTTAACTTCGGTTCAGTACTAAATAAAATATCTCTGTACTCGAGAAACAATCATTTATTAGCTTAAATCTATATGGTTAATAATTTGTTGGCTCCATAGCCTCCTTTTTGCTTGGTATGCATTTCAAATCATTAAACATTCTACCAACATTCTCACTAATTTTATACCTATTGAATAACTTATATCACTAATGTCAACCTGGTAATAATTTTTTTCCTTTCATTACTATATCATGACAACTTGAAAAATGACTTATGCAGCCATGTCTAAAACATTTTTTTCTAAATATTAATAATTGAATAAAAAACAGCATGGCAACCTTTTATGTTGACATTATGCGTAGTGAGAATTACAGACTTCAGCTAACAGCATTGTGTCGACGAGGAGAAATTTAGCAGAAATTTCCTTATCCAAAAAAATAGGTTTTGTAAATGATCTCGGTAGGTTAAAAGGTTACACTTAGTTCTGTCTAAATTAAGAATAATTTGTTATGCAGACAAGCCTTAAATATATATATGAATTTAGTTATTTGGTACTAAGATAAGTTTGAAGCCTTTGCTGGAAATAGATGTAATTATATAAATAACTACTAAACTACCATCTGCAGCGTATGTTAGAAGCAAGACAAAATTTAGCAGAACATGAATTTAGTTTCCAATCTCATGATACATTGCTAATAGTACATCAACTAAGCTATGCTAACTGTTGGAAATATGTAGTATGGTTCTAAATGCAGAAAATATCACTATTGATACTGAACAGCGTGACAAAAAGTTTTCTGAGAAGAAAACAATTTGATTGATAATTTAGTGGGAATTCTCAGCATGACAATTACAGGACTTGAATAATGAACTTTGTAACTGAACAAAAAATTATATGGTGGAAATTGAACAACTTACATTGAAAGAAATATTTAATGAAATAAATAAATAAATAAATACCGAATCCACGTCCTTTTTTTTTGTAAATTTTGATTTCCTTAAAATTATAAATGCTTCATTGTTTTATAAACAACTATTTCATAACTTAGGTTAGAAATAATACGCTGAATAATGATTATTGGAGTAACAACTGGAATCAGCATAATGTTTGTAAATTTTGCAAACATTGTGTTATTCGATGGTCCATCAAAACTAGTTCTCCAAAATTTACAAACATTATGCTGATTCTTGTTGTTTAACTTCTCCAATAACTGTTTCATATTTTTAGTTTTATAAATTTTACATGTCATATTTGATCTAAATTCTGGAATCACTGAAGTTCCGACAAGTCTGGATCTTGAATTTTGTACTGTATATAGGGTTCGTAGCGGTCCTTATAAGTGCTTATAAGTCCTTATATTTGAAAATAAAATATAAAGGCCCTTATAGGTGCTTACTTTTTCTTTAAAGCCCTTATTTTTTTTGTTTTTAGTGCTTTTTTTTTAAATGAACGTGCTGTTTTTCCTTGTACCAAAGCCGAAACTAAATAAGCAACTTTTCTTCCTAATATGGAATGCCAGATGGTGAGTCATACTCCCGGAAATAGCTTTTCCCCCTTTCTCTGCATTAACATAACCTTTGGTGTGCACGAAGAGTACAGACAGGTGCCCGTTGTTCTATTGGTCAAAGAATTGCGAAAGCAGTAGAAAATTCCGCTACATTCGGCATTCTTTTCCTCCTACCCAAATATTACACACGTTTGAATTTTTATCAAGATCTTAAAAATTTGCATTCTTGTTCTGCTTGGTCAGTTCATATTCGTGTTTATTATGATCGTTATGCTTATATTATGAGCATGTGTATGAATGTTTATAATAACATAGTTGCAGTAACTGCTGAAGTGTAGTAAACTTCAAAAAATGGTTGTGTTTTAACACAGATTAGCTTTCTAAGGAATAATATTCGGAATGGCTTAAATAAAGGTGGTGGTGTATTTAATTATGGCAAAGCACACGAGGGCTATCTGCCTAAGGGGAGAGATGCCTTCGTGGAGGACTTTCTAAGGGAAACTGGCTCGTATACACGTTACACATGGGAAAACTACGAAAACGCCCATGCAGCCAGCCCGTTTGCAGGATTCGAACCTCGGACCGCTCGGCCGCTGGTGGGCGGCTTAAATAAAGGAAAAGTAATCGAATAGTCAAAATAATTTCATTTTTTTGGCCAATACATTATACAGTACGAAGGTTAGGAGGTCTCCCCTTTCTCCGCAAAATCTTGAATATTGAAACTGTTACAGTTCGCTGCAAAACAAGCAATGGAACTTCTTTTTTTTTGGGGGGGGGTCACTTTCCAGTCTGGATTGAATAGGACTAAAAGTACTGCGGTCTACCAACCCAAGAGAAGAACGACTCTATTCCGGAAATTTAATGCCATTTGTTGAAAATTGGAATGAAAAACACCCCAGTTATTTAGTTCTTAATGCCGGCAGTTGTTGATTCCGACTGCGTAATATCAGGTAGGGAAGAATTACGATGCACGTATTGCGCAATAACGTTTGCGATATTTTGATGTTCAGTCCCTGATTTGTTATGAACATTTAAAAGAGTTTTACTGTGCTTGCTAAGCAGAATATTTTTTAGTTCCATTTGTTTATTTTTATATAATGCACATATCAAAGTGTCAAAAGCACTTATTTAGCTGGAAAAATCTAAAGAGTGGCTACAGTCTACCCCCCCTCCACTCCTCTTTTTCAAGTTACGCTCGACTGTCCGAATATTCGCCAATATCCAAGTATGCGGTTTAGTTAAGCTTTTGCTGTTAAAGGATGACTGCATGAAGCAAATTTCTGTCTTCTGATTTCAGAAATGTTCCTTGTTTTTCACTTAAATTACTTTGCTTGCAATATCTGTTAGAGAAAAACTGATATACAATGAAAATTTAGAAAATTGTTCAGAGTTTAGATTTAAATTATTTAAATATCAATATGAGTGGAAAAATAAATTGTATTTATTATTAGCAAATACAATAAATATGCCTTATTATTTATTTTCTCTGTTTTGAACTGAAATTTCATCATTAAATCTTGTAATATAGTTTAGTTCTTCGTAGTTTTTTTTTTCTCTCATTATAAACTAGTTCTGTAAATTGAACTGTTATTTAAAATTTAAAAAAAAAAAAAAAAAAAAAAAAAAAATATTTTCCATGGTTGAGGTAATGCTTATTCTCTCTTAATAAGTATATTTCTCATAGTTTAAATTACAAGTCTAATTTTTAAGGTTATGCAGTTGTGTATGATGTAATTAGGCAGGTGCTTATTTTTTTTTCTTAAAATGTGCTTGAAAAGTGCTTATAGGTGCTTATTTTTTTTTAACTAAAATGTGGCTATGAACCCTGTGTATATAATTTTTTTTTTTTTTTTGCTTGTCTATAATTTGAAACAAGTTATTTCTTAATGTAAAGTTTTTCTTTATTATTAAATGTTACTCAACCAAGAAGTAAATATTTTATTTTTTACATTTCAGGAACTGAATATAAAAAATCCTCTTCATCGAAAAAAATTGTTATTAGCTGTCACTGGTGCCAAAGAACAAACAGGTGACTCAGTAGAACCTGCTGGAAAAATTGATCATCATTGGGTAGTTCGCTGGCTGGATGACATAGGTCTTCCTCAGTACAAGGATGCATTCTTTGATGCTCGCATAGATGGAAGAATGTTGCATCATTTAACTTTGGTATTCAGTGATCTGTGTTCATTAATGAATTAAAGAGAATTTTGGAATGGAATTTAAGTTATTTTATTTATAATTTTAGTCATTAATTTTAAGTTAAACATTATGAATATACAGTGATGTTTGTTTTGTAAAAGAATATGTTTTAAGGTATCCTGTATTCTTTAGAAGCTAACCATTTTAATTTAATTTTAAAATCTTCATTTCTAATCAAAATTATTATATATATATTATTTAAATATTTTAAAACAGAAAGTGTATTGAATACCAAAATTGTTGTCTACCAAATATTTAATATTCATGCATTATAAAAGCATTATTTGAATTTCTTATATTTTTCATTAAAAGTCTACAAAGTTTTAGATATTTATGTTAATGTAACTTAAATATTATCTTATGAATGAATAATGTAAGTTTAAACCTGAGGGTCAGGAAAAATAAATTGTATATAAAATGCATTGTCAAGGTAGTAACAGAGGAATTGTAACAAAATTAAATGAGTACCAAATGAATGCAACAATACAATTTTATTGAGTATTATTTTTCTTGTTTTATAGGAAGATCTTGCTCACTTAAAGGTGACAAATCTTCTCCATCACATCAGTATTAAGACGAGTATTCAAGTTCTGAGAGAAAATAAGTTTGACGCACATTGTTTGAAAAGACGTTCTCTCCCAGATGATGTAAATATTAAATTTTTTTTTTTGCATTGATTATTATTATTGTAAATAAATGTGAGTAGTTATAAAATAGCACAAACTTTACTATTCCTGAGTAAATGCTTATAAAACACTATTTATAAGCAAAATTATTTCCTTCTGTGCTATGAACACCTAGGTATGTATAATCAGTTTCTGTATCATCTATATTAAAAGCATGCCTTTAATAGAATTATTTACTGTAGATGTATATAATTTCTCTATTTTAATTCTAATGTGGGAATTTAAATTTATTTGTTAATTAAAAAATAAAGTTTAAATTTTACATTTTTATTATAGGAGAACTCACCTTCAGATGTTAGTAAATGGACAAATCATCGTGTTATGGAATGGTTGAAAACAGTAGATCTTTCAGAATATGCACCAAATTTGCGGGGAAGTGGAGTTCATGGTGGTCTTATGGTAAAAGAATTGCATTGCTTGTATAATTTAATAATGTTAGTTAAATACAATTATATTTAATTCAGAAGTCAAACAACAAAAATCAGCGTTATATTTACAAAATTTTCACAGGACTAGTTTCAATGGTTTTACCGAACCACATCTTCACTGCAAACCGCAATGAACAAGAAAAAACAAAACAAGACAGAAAGTTTTGCAGCGAAGAGGTGGTTGGTAAAACCATCGAAACTAGTCCTGTGAAAATTGTAAATAACGCTGATTTTGTTGTTGACTTCTATAGTATGTATCGGCATTATTGTGTCACAATTATATTCCTGAATTCTGAGAAACTTATTCCTGACTAAAATTAATTATTAGTATTAAAAACCCATGTTCGTCCTTTATATAATTGCTCAACCCATTTAGTGGTTTATTTTGCTGGTGAGATCTTTTTTTTGTTTAAAGCTTTCTTATTAAGCATTCTAATTTTGACCAAAATGCAACTGCAATAAGTTACATGTATTGAGTCTATAATATTGTAATATTTTCAAAACTGAGTTCATGAGAATTTTTAGAAAAATGTTTAAAATTAAAGATCGTTAGATAGTTAATCATATTTAAGTAAACAATTATAATACAGTGATGTTTGTTGTAAAAATATATTTTAAGGTATCCTGCATTCTTGGAAGCTAACTATTTTAATTTAATTTAAAATCTCATTTTAATCAAAATTTTATATATATTATTTAAATATTTAAAACAAAGTATTGAATACCAAAATTGTTGTCTACCAAATATTTAATATTTATGCATCATAAAAGCATTATTACCTTTAGTCTCCTGTAAGCATTATATGAAAGTAACAACATTTCTACATTCACAGCTGCAAAAGCATGCATAATACAATTTAAAATTTCTTTAAAGAACTAAGAGAGATAGATAATTTGTGATGAAAAAGAACTTTGTTAATGTTTGGTTTATGCAACATCAAATTAATAGTTAATCATAAACCAAATAATTCATTTTAAACAGAAATCTGATATGAAAAATAAATATTATGTACTTAATAAATCATATTTATTTAGTATACAATAAATATAACATATGTATTTTATGATTTGCAGTTTTTCAAATAAAATGGTAAAAATTCAACTATCAATTTTTTTCATTTAGTTAACAATAATGCAATTAAAAAGGAAAATTGCATTCTAATCAGATTTTTAAAAGAGAAAGAATGCTTTTCTGCAATGGATAGATTCTAATATCGGATGTATTTAAAATATTGCATAAATTTCACTCTTTTGAAAATATTCTAAGTAACACACACTTTTCTAGCTACTTTTATTATATCTAATTTCTTGAATTATTACATTGTTCATAAAGTTCAAACTCGCATTTTATTGAATAGAGAATTAAACTTTTCTTAAAATATTATTTGGTATTCATGGAATTTTTTGCTAAATTACCCTGGATAAATCAGCAGAGATAGCATTAACATATACGTGATTAGTATAAAATTAATTTGTATTATGTAAATTTCTAGTAATAATTTAGTAAAGATAAAATGAATACCTTAAAAAGCAAAATCACATAAAACTTACAGAAGGAGGAGCATGAAAATTCCATCTGAATTGTTGGATTTTTAATTTAAATGGAAAAATTCTTCTTTGAAAAAAGTGAGAGATATTGTGTATGGAGTTTACTTTACATAGGGATGTCTAAATATATTTCTTTTTAATTTTATAATGATAATGATTTTTATTAGAAAAATGTACAATTTAATAGAACAAAAAACAACTATGAGCATTGTTTTTAGTCAGAATGGTATAGCAAAAACAACTAAAACATCTGATTTTTTTCAATTATCTCAGCAATTTAAGGTATTTAAAGTGAAATTATTTCTTATCTAATTAATGAATTACTAATAACTAATAGTCAGCATCAATTTTAAACATTTGTTCAATTTGTTGCAAAATGATCAAAAAGAATTAATACTTTAGAATCTTTTCATATTTTGTGCATTTTAAAATTTGACATAAGAGGGTTTATTGCAAATATCAACTCGAGTTAAATGGATGTGGCTTTATCATCAAAAATAATATTTTATTGAATAATATTATGTGAGGCAGCTTATATTAGTCTAATATACCAAAATACATAGTAATAGTACTAATTTAGTATTTGAAGGATTATATTATCCATTAATAGGTATAATAGGCATAGGACATACTAACAGTCTTCTCATCCTGAGTAAATTCGTAATGAAATGATTTGTTTTCTAGTGACTTTTACATTATTTTTTATTAGCATTTTATTTATTTATTATTCTCACTAATTATTTCAAAACTGAACTTTTTTTCATAGTTGTATGAACCACGTTTCAATGCTGATCTCCTTGCTACATTGTTGAATATTCCACCAAATAAAACACTTTTGAGAAGGCACTTAACCACCCAGTTCAAACAGCTAGTTGGTCCTGATATCATGCAAAAGAAACGAGAATGGGAAGCACAGCCTAGTTATTCACCTCTTTCACCAAGTGCTAAAGTCAAGGTAAAATGATGCTCATCTTATCTAAGAAATTTAAAGTATTCACTAAAGAAAAAAAAAAAAAAAAATTCACTGTAAAAATAACTTTTAACGTAATTTTCATTAACAGATAGCCTAGTCATTATTCCTAGTGATATTTTATTTTTTAGTGAATTAGATACATAACAATGAAGTCTTCATTTAAAATCTTATTAGTTGAACTTTATAGTTATATTTTAATTATAATTTATTAGTCCAAAGGGGCTTTGTCCCTGAAGGAGTATTGTTTTCCTTTTGCGATTTTGCGTCGATTCACTACAAACGGCGATCATTTCAAACTGTGCCACAAAGTATTATCGCACGTGGTAATTTAAGAATTAATAATAAAAATCTGCATAATGTATTCAATTTTTTGCATTGTGAAACAACGTACATAGAGTTAATCGAATTTGAATGACATAATCTCTTACAAATAGGGCATGTGGAGACCAAATTTTATTTGGATTCGTTTTTATTATCGATTTTCTGTTTCGTAAAACTTTAACGAATTTTGATTACAAACTCAAGGATTTCAAAAGCGAGCAATGCAACATGACAGAAAAAACATTTTTATCTCCAGCCATGAGTCTCTGTATTGGAAATTCTAAAGATATGCTCATTTTAAAACTATTTTGTGATATTGCTGTTGAACTGAATTGTATGGTTTAAGTGTGAAGAACGTGATATTTAATAAATAAATGTAACACACAAAATGTTAAAAAAAATGCCCTTTGGACATAATTTAAAACAAACATTTCAGATTTTCTTTTTTTTTAAAGTTATATTTGAATTAAAACATTGCAGAGATCAATAGGATGAATATTTTTCTGACTGCTATTTTTACTTTACTAAAAAAAAATTAAAGCAATGAAATTTATATATAACCTTTACTGTTGGAAAATGGAATTCCAACAAAAGAAGATAAGATGAATAAATTTCAGAGAAAGCATTTGTCTGTCTAATATTTTTGAAATCCGAGCTACAAAGTAGCAGTGCATATTACATGTTGTTGTTCTGGCTTATCTTACTTGTCTGACATAATCAGAACAAGTCCATGAAATTTATTGCAGCAAGGAATGCAACTCTGCATCTGTCATGGGTATAGGCCGTGAACACCATATCGGCGAGAGTATGGCTTTGTCCACTTCCATCCAAATTTTGATGGAGAATATGCTGGGGAATAGATTCAAGGGTCTTCAACCTCTATCAAACCACTTAAAAGAACTTCACCATGTACTATTTTGAATGCCGCCATGTAACAGAAACACTACAGAGGCTGTTCGCACATTTTTTAGACGATTTTGGTAAGCGGTAATAAAAAATCTTTTGCTGCAAAAAAAGTAATTGCAATTGTACTATGTTTTTAAAAGTCAAAATTATCGTCTGTGGCTTGAAGGTTATGTTTTTATTCAAAATGGCGAATTTAACAAAGCAGTGGTTCGAAGGCTACATTTACGCTCTTTCCAAAGAGAATATGCATACTCCGTTATCCAAAAACGATTGAGAGTCATGGTTGTGATATCTAAAGCATCGATAGGTAATATCATCAACAGAAAGAAAAAAAACGTCAAATTGGAGCCTCAAGTGGACAAATTCCAACAAGTATCCAAGGAAAAACGGACATCTTCGACTATTGCAAAGTAAGTTGTTTAATGTTAAAGAAAATCCCCTATCAAAGGACAGTTGCAAAATCATTAAAATGCTTGGTGTCCACTGTAAACAAAATGATAAATGTTATTTAAATCTTAAGAAAGCAAAAAACGCATGTGCATTGTCTTCTTCCAAAGCATATTGCTCAATGCAGGACACGCTGCAGAATTCTATATGAGAAACACTTATCCAAAGAAAAATGGAAAACAGTTGTCACAATAGATGAAATATGGGTGTATTTAAATGATTGTAACAAAAAAAAAAAAAAAAAAAGAGCCATTTATTATCATAAAAGGGGAGAAAAAAATTTAAGTACATGGTTCGAAGAATCAAAAGAAAGTTTTTCTAAGGGATTTATGATTGTTGCGGGTTTTTCTTATAATGGCAAGTTAAAAATAAAGAGAGTGCAAAAAAAATGTCAAGATTAACTCTAATACTATCAGGAACATATTTTATTGCCAATTTTTCTGAATGAAATACCATCACTTTACCCACAGTGCCATCATCTGTGAGACTTCCATCAGGACAAAGCTAGCAGTCACACATCAAAATCCACTGTAAATTTCCTAAAGAAATGGAACAAAAACTGGTATCAAGGCCATACCCTTCACTGATATCCCTACTAAATCTCCTGATGGTGTCCTATGGATTTTTTTTGTGCTTTCGGACTTTTAAAAACTGCATTATCCAAACGTTGTCCCAAAACCATAACATGACTCTGGAAAGCTGTTCTGGAGGAATGGGATAGAATACCTCTTTTGCCACTTCAAAAGGTATTATTATCCTGGAAATTGTGGTGTCGAAAGATAGTTCAGAATAATGGATGTCAAATAGAACATTTAAAACACAAAAATTTTATGTAATTTAGTTTTGTGAATACAATAAACATCGTCTAAAAATGTGTGAACAGCCTCTGTATACAAGACATCCATGCCATCTGCAATAAGACATCCATGCGTTCTGCAAGATTCGAATCTTAACTAAAAGAACAATGCAGCAGCCAGGAGCATTAACCACTTTACTGATCAGGATGGTGCACATTACATGTAAACAAAGCTGTGTTAAATTTGAATTTTCTTTGCATCTCTAAAAGCTGTAATCATTACAGTGCTAAATGCTGACATACCAGTATACATCCAATTATGTTTCTTTGTACAATAGAATTCTAATCTTGAGAAATATATCAATAATTCTGATTATTGATTGTGAATGTAAAGATGACATCTGATAATATCTCATCCATACCCAATGGGTAAAAGGCATGAGGATATCAATGGCCTTGAGAAACATTAATATTGTTGTGTGCGTACAGGTTCGTAATAGATTGAATGCACAAGTCCGATAAAAAGTTAATACAATTTATTCTTATCACAAGAAATATAACAAATCGTTGGAATTTTCCTCAGAGATATTCTTACAAGAGTTCACAATATCAGGCACTAATAATGAGTAGAATGTAAATACGTTAAATAGAATGCAATACAACCAGTAGCTATATTTTAATCTACTAAAAACATTAAAATACAATGGAGTTCAAAGAGAAAGCTAAACAAATTGTATTAACAGTAACTAAGCAACTGAGCTGAGATGTCTCTCTCCGGCTTTTTAAAGCTTTTAATCGATCACGAAAGAGTTCTAGTAATTTCTTTGCTTCTCAAGATTTCTGGAAAGCAAAAGAGTATGGTTACAGCTAACACAGTAGTCAATTACATTTATTCAATTTAAATATAAATTACAAGATATCTATTTATTAAATGTTAAATGCACATGCTCCTGTATTTCTACTTTTCTTTAGTAGTTTATTATAGTTAATCATACTATTAATTTGTAAGTTGTACCTGTAATTATATCTGTACTCTATATTTGCTACATTATGTCATCCTGTGAAAAACCTTTTAAATGATATGAGATAAATTATATATAGTCTATATATTCAACTGGAGATGTTTTACAGGCTATCAGACGTAGCCATTTTTCTCTAATGAAGAAGAAGAATAAAAATGAACTTGCTTTTGAAGATTATGTTTGTCCTTTGAATTTCTCAGAAGAAATGTGTGGCAGTATTATTACACCTAATGGATCGCAAAATTATTCAGAAGAAAAGTTTTTAATGAAAGAGGTATTTATATGTTATTTTTATGCAATTTTTTCTGCTAGAATTGCTTAGAAAGTTTCCTAAATAATTTAGGAATTCTTTATGCTTTAGAGTTTATTTACTAATTATTCTATGTAATGTCTAATTGTTTTTGCATAATACATATTTAATGGCAGTGTTTTTCATTTGATATGCCTTTTTTGCTATATGTGGAAACTTTTGAAGCAGAGTAAAATAATCTAAAATTAAATAAATATTTTAAGATATGAAAAAAAAGTAACTAATAATTTTAAATCTACTCATTCATTGTTTGTGATTTTCTGTACTTCAGCATTTAAAAAAATGTCTGATAATTTGGTGTTTTTTGGACATTTAATTAATTCAGCATGAAGTTCATTCTCTGCACGTAATATATGTATTAGAGTTTAAATTAAATTAATTCTTTCGTGCGAAGTATGGATATTTTAATGAAGCTTTAAAATTTTCAAAGCTTCTCCATTAAATATATTTTTAATTTCAATTTCTATATTTATGAAGGGTTTCTTAAAATTTCCTGCATTAAAACTACCGAAATTACAATACAGCTATAAAATAATTAAAGGAAAATGCATTTTTTAAGGTAAAAAAATCAAGAAAGCATAGTTGTCTTTGCCTAAGTAATAATAACTCATTATTTTTATACCAGTTTGGCTCATAATCTTGACTTCAATTTCCATACAATTTGTTTCTTTAAATAGCTATTTTTTATCACCCAATTTGACTATTAACTATTGAAGCAAGAACTGCAGAAAAAAAGGTGACTGACCTGATGTTATTTTTACCCACCGTATTTCCGTTCAGTGTGTTTCGCTTTATGGAAAACAAGCAGTGAAGACTGACTTAAAGTGCATTCTCAAAAAGAGAAAATAAACATTGTGTGGTGATAATGACACAAATTATGATCGCAAATGGGAAAGGGGAGCTGGCAATGGTATTGAAGTGTCTATTTTGAAGTAATAGACTATAGTCTTTCAAATTACAGACTATAGCTTTTTATCATCCAGCTGTGATTCTCTCTTTCATCAGACTTCTCTAGATCAATTCAGCCCTGCCTCTTTATGTAGGTAATCTGCATCAGTTCCACGGCTAGCATTATTAATGTGTGCCTCATTTTTCTGCATTTTCTCCATGTAGTAAGTTTTCAAGTAGTTTCTTCAAATTTCTTCTTGAGCCTGTATTGTTTTGCCAGTAGAGTTTTTTTTTTTTTTTTTTTTTTTTATGTACAGCAAGGGTGTCAAACTCGTGGCCTACAATGAATATATATGTGGCCTGGCCTTTCCCTTTGACAACGAAGTCTTCCGTTATGCCCTCTGTCATTCAGAATGCCTGCGCTCATTTCTATTAGTGCTTTATTCCATCATTTCAGCACACGGCTTATTAGTTTTAGGAGTCGTTAAATGACATGCCAGTCTTTTTAGTCCAAAGGGGCTTTGTCCCTGAAGGACTATTGTTTTCATTTCGCGATTTTGGTGTTGAATCATTATCCTTAAATACTTCTTCTAACACATTTGCATTCAGCGCGATTCTATAAACTCATTCTGGGAGCTGTAAGTGGAAACAAGAATTGATAGAAAAGAGTTTCGAAATTAAAATAACTATTATAAAATTAAAATATAAATTACAAAGTTATTTTTTAGTCCAAAAAGGGGCTTTGTCCATGAAGGACTATTGTTTTCGTTTTGCGATTTTGCGTTGAATCACTATAAATGTCCGTTTCACTTTTCAAACTGTTGCCATCAAATGTTAGAGTCTTGCATTATATTTAAAGAAATTAAATAATGAAAAATCTGCATAATTGTATGTCTATTTCTTTCATTGTGATAAAACAATGGTAAATAGAGCCATTGGATTTTGAATGATGTAATCCTCCTACGAATATGGGCATGTGGAAGACCAAATTTGAAATTAGTTTTATTATCGATTTCATATTTTGTAAAACTTTAACGAGTTTTTGAGTAACAAACTCAACGATTTAAAAGCGAGCAATGGCAACACTCTACGGGGGCACCTTTTTATCTCCAGTGCATGAGTCTCTGTATCAGAAATTCTAAAAATATGCTCATTTTAAAATTATTTTGCGACATTGCTATTGAACTGAATTTTCTGGTTCAAGTGCAGAGAACATGATACAGTCAAAAGTCATTAATCCGGACTCGTCGGGACTTCAGCGATTCCGAATTATCGATTTTTCAGGATTGTAGATCATCAGTTTAAATCTGGTAAGATGGCATGCAGAAATTACAAAATTAAAAATATGAAGCCGTAATTTATGAAATAAAGAACAATTATGATCTAAAAGGTATAAAAATTTACATAAAGAAAAAGCTTAATATTTATTTGTTTACTTTATTAAACATTTCTTTCAATGTAAGTTGTTTAAGTTGCTTCGTTTCATGTGATAATACTTTCTCTTTAATTCTATTAAACAGACATAATTTCTTGTTTAGTTACAAAGTTCCGCTGTCAAGTCCTATAATTGCTGTGTCGAGAATACCGACTAATTTGTCAATAGAAATTTTTTCGTTTTCAATAACCTCTGGGTCTCTTTCTTTACTATCGAAAGCGAATTATAATGACGAGGAACTTGTTTTAAATCATATAAAAGACGGAGTACATCAAGATGAAATACTACATTTAGTAAGGAATTATAAGCCCAATAAAATAAAAACATCTGCCCTGAAGATAAGGATAGTGCTGACAGATCAGCTTCCAATTCATTGCACGCCGCGGTGTTCCCCCCGCCGAGCTGCGTGAAATTGATAAACAGATTTCGGATTTTGAAACATACTTTCGCTTTAGATCCTTTACATATTAGCAAATATATATCGGAAATTCTATTTGATATAATTGAAAGTTCAAGCTTACTTTTATAAAATTGCTCTAACAGTCTGTAAAAAATAATAAGCCGGATCCTATTCGAAGATTAAGGAACAACGCAATCTGCAACATTAACTGAATTAGATAATTTTAGCTTAGCTTATACCATCCGTTATACATTAAAAGCGCATGCATAAACGTTTTATGCGCATGCGCACACGCACATTCGCAGCCGTAAAAGTCTTTATACACACACACATAAACGCCTATGCACATGCGTCAACGCAACGCATGCGCAGAAAGTTTGTAGCTTTGAGGTCCGGATTATAGATCATTTCGGATTATGGGTGTCCGAATTAACAACTTTTGACTGTATTTAATAAACAAAGGTAACACACAAAACGTTAAAAAAACGCCCCTGTGGATGTAATTTAAAATTGTAGATCAATTCTGTAATCTATTAACCCCCTTTTAACTATATGATAAATTCTTCTTCATCTTTTAGTGCATTAATTATCATATCAATTTTAAATAAATCTTACTGTATAAAACTTTTTGTTTTAATCGTATTTTTTTTTTTTTTTTTGAAGTGACTCAAGTAGCTTTTTTACTTAAGTCCACCTCTTCTTTCCTTTGTTTAACTTAAATGCTTCAAGGGGATAACCAACGTTTAGATAGCTGTTTTACTGGTTCCTTAGGTAGTCAGTCGATTCATGCTTGCAGTTGCAGTCCTATCCTAAGGAGAAAGTGCAAATGATATTTAATTTTTGGTATTTATTACCCATGTCTTTATCCAAGCCAAACTGTAGTAAAATTAAATGAAAAATTGCTGATGAATATCGAAATTTTCAAGAAAAGTAGAAATTGGAATATTTTTGCTGTGAAGGAAAAGGTAAAATAATCTGTTTGATATGTAAATAATGTTATTAAAGTTCATAAGTTATATAACATTAAATGCTCTTATGAACAACATAAAATATGATCATTAATAAACAAATTTCAATGTTTTTTTGAGGAATTATTGGAACTAGTACTGATGCGTGGTACTACTATAAGACAAGATATATTTGATTGTGTTTTTGAAGTTTTACAATATTATAATTTACCTCTTTCAAAATTAGCTTCTATAGCTACAGACGGTGCTCCTTCAATGATCGGAAAAAAACAAAGGTTTTGTGGCATTAATGCAAAAAAAGCCAAATGAATTTTATGGTGGATCTCACATTCGTCACATGCATTTATTTATACATCAATAAATACTTTGCAGTAAAATATAAACATGGGAAAATATGTCACCATGTATAAAAAAGTTATCAATTTTATGAGATCTTGAAGATAGATAAGATCTTAAATCAGAGACAGTTCTGTGCTTTCTTACATGAATTAGAATGCGAATATTCTCTGTCTGTCCTACAGTACCGAGACACATTGTTTATCCTGCTCTAAAATTTTCAAACAATTCTGGGATTTAAAAGAAAACATATTTCACTTTTTAATAACTAAAAATCAAGTCAGAAGTTTGTTTTCTAATCCAACATGACTACAAGATTTATCTTTCATGATTGATATCGTAAAACACTTAAACAATTCGAATTTCTAACTGTAAGGAAAAGATCAGATCATTATGAAGATGTGTGACAGAGTTAAAACATTCAAATTGGGAAAGAATAATGATTTGACACACTTTCCGACATGCAATATAAACAAATCAAGTTTAGGTGAAACTGCATCATGTAAAAAATATACAGAAAATACTCTAAATCTTAGAAATAATGAATTTGAGATAAGATTTGCAAATTTTATTCCTTTGAAAGACTTTTTAAAAAAAAATTTTTTTTTCTTCAATTTTCTCAACAAATATAGAATCAGGACCTATATGAAATGGAGGTAATTGAGATTCACTGGAATTCAAATTTGAAGGAAAAATTCACTGAGGTTGGAATGCCTGAAATTTATATATAATTTACCTAAACCTTCCAGCATGCGTGCGTTGTATTTTTTATGACATTAGTTATTTTACCGTTTTTGGCACGAAAAACGACAGAAATGAGTGAATATTGATAATAAATTTGTTAAGAAATAAAATAGTAATCTTATTATTGCAAAATACAAATGATATCACATTCAAATATAAGTAAATTATTTTTAAGTTCTTTTGTTAGTGAGATCGAAATGTAATGATGTATTTCATTATAGAAAATTTTAAATTTATTATTTAATAATTATATTTTAAAATAAAAGCTAATTTTTAATATTTATCAAAGACAAGTATAGACAATAAAAAAGGAAAACACCTTGGTAGGAAAAAAAGTAAGTTTAGCATTACTTCTGAAAGAAAATTTACTTCTTACTGGTTACAAAAACGCACTTTAAACTAACTTTAATGTTTTAATTTATTTCTAAAAAAATAGAAATAGAAAATAAGGAATGGAAATTGCTATTGTTCTTCCCATCCAAATGTTTCCTTGTCTTTCTTTTCTTCATCAGATAATTCTTGAAGAATCTGAGCAAAATCAGCTGGTTGCACATAATTTTTTGCCATGAAAACCAATATAAAATTTACAAAGCCATATGTATTCAAATTAAAATAATACACAGCAATTAATAACACAAAATATTCGAGAAAAAATATTTTTCAAATTTTAAAACACAACCACGCACGTGTTGTAAATTTTATGAAAAAGCTGCCATGTAGCATACAAGGCCAGTTAAAAAAAAAAGTCAAATGACTTCTTGTTGACACATTCCATAATGCGAGGAAGGGTAGAAAGGAGGAATAGAAATGACTTTCAGACGTCTCAGCTTCGATATGCGAAAAATGCGTGTTAAAAACCAAATTTGTCGTAAATTTTGTGCATATGCGCGTGCTGGAAGATTAAAAATGCACAAAGATTTGCTTACACTTATGAAAGGAAATATGGCTCTTGTCAGATAAAAAATTAACAAGGATCACCTTGGGTCAATTCTGAAAGTAATTACTGTGAGCAATATTCCCTTCGAAACAGACAAGATAGTAGTAACAGAGAAGAGATATTAAAGGTCTGGAAGAAAATAATAAATTGTTTTTGCTCCTTTTTATGACTGTATTTGTTGAAATAAGCCTATGTTTCCATAAAAATTAAAGTTTATTTTTGCTGTCTCTCTAAACTTTTTAAGTTTTTAATTTTGGCTCATTTTAGTCTTTGAATTTGATATTGATCATATACAGTTTGGCCTATTAATTATGATTGTTTAAATAAATACAAGGACATAAAATATTTATATGATACATAGGTTCATAAAAAACAATCGTAAAAGAATGATTCATTTATAGATGCTGAAAGTGATTGGCATTTAGTTAGTAATGACCAATCACAATATGGCTGAGGAGAAATTTTCAATCTTGCAACAAATGTTTTGCAGTCCAGATCTGCTCTCACCTGTTCACCTGCAATTCATTAAAGATTTAGTGCAGCATATTTTCAACTACAATGTTCCTTCCAAAAAAATGTTTTTAAATTTCAAGTGAAAAACTTGTCTGTGCATTTGTCAAGGAACTATCAGCATTCCTGTGTCTTATTAATATTTTAAAAATGTTGCAGCCATCAAAATAGTTGCTTTACTAACATATTGTATTGCAGAACTGGCACTATGCATTTTGTTGCCCAGTACAATTTTTGTGGATACTGAATTCTTCTGATTGGTATGACTCTAAATTCTAAAAATGTGCTGTTTGGTGCTCTTTTAAATTCTTCTGTCTGGTGTGGCCACACTGGCTGTGGTGCTAATGGGGGTTAACATTCTTTGTTCCGATCTAAACAATAAGCGACGCTCCGATGTTGCCATGTCTTATTAGATTTAAACTCATGATCTAAAATCCAGAAATTTCTGAGCTCCAACCTCCTAAGTCATGATAATTCTGGATCTCAGACTTTGTACTGTACTTAAGTGTGCTAAAATTCTTATTATATATGCTACATGAAAATATACATTATCTTTTTATTAAAATAGTGTACATTTTTTGTGCTTATATATATGTATTTAAATGTAAAGTTTTCAATATTTTTTTCAGATAGTTTTAAAGAATGACAAAATTTTGGAGAGTATGCCAGCTTCAAATGTTTGATATCATCATGACGTTTTTACATTTCAACATATTTTTAAACATATTGTATATAATGTATATAAATTTCATTAAGATTATATATACTATAAATATACAAGCATTTACAAATTTTAGTAATTATACTCAACTATTTTTTGATATTGTTGTGGATCAACGTTCTTCATATTATATACACTACCGAATCTCCCTCGCTTGAACTGTCAAGCTCTGTTTTGTAAATATCAAAATTAATGAGGTATTTTTATGTATAATTTGCACTGTTATGTTTAATAAGAAGCATAGACAAGTTAAAATGTTTTCTATATATTTGTGTGCTTTTCTATACATACACACTAAACACTGAAAAGAAACAATGACATATTTATTACTACCTTGACTTTAAACATCTCTCCAAAGTAACTAATTTTGGAAAAAAAATTCAAGAATTAAAAAAATTAGCATAAGCTTTTGTTCAAAAATATATATTAAAATGACTTTAATTGCAAAACAGTTAATTGTTAAGTATTTATGCCTCAAATTCTAAATTAACATTTTTCATATATGAAATATATTTTCTTATTTTATACTACAGTCAAAAGTCGTTAATCCGGACTCGTCGGGCCTTCGGCGATTCGGATATCGATTTCGGCTTAAGATCTCAGTTTAAATGGTAAAATGGCATGCGAAATTATAAATTAAAAATATGAAACCGAATTACTAATAAAGAACAATTATGATTTAAAGGGTATCAAATTACAAAACAAAAAAAAGAAAGCTAATTTATTGTTTACTTTATTAAACATTTCTTTCATGTAGTGTTTAAGTTTTCGTTTTTTATGTTTACTTCTCTTTAATTCTATTAAACAGACATAATTCTTTTTCAGTTACAAAGTTCCGCTGTTCGTGATATAATTGCTGGTCGAGAATACAGACTAATTTGTCAAACGAAATTTTTTCGTTTCAATACTCTGTCACTTTCTTCGCTATCGGAGCGATTATAATGACGATACTTTATTTAAATTATCTCAAAGACGAGAAAACTACATTGAGTAAACAATTATAAGCCAACTAAATAAAAACATCTGCCCTTAAGATAAGGATAGGTTGGACAGATAACTTCAATCAATGTCCCCCGCACCGTTAAAGATAAACAAAATTTAGAAACACACGCTTAAGTTTAGATAAACTTTATCCATTTGGCAGCAATTCCACTTTTGTTTAATGGACTCCGAAAGATCTTTCGCTTTGTAATCCTTTACATATTAGTAATAATACGGAAATTCTATTGACTAATCGAAAGTTCAAGTACTTTTATAAATTCTCTAACAGTCGGCAAAAAAATAATCCGGATCCAATTCGAAGATTAAGGAACAACGCATCTGCAACATAATAAATAGATTTAGATAATTTTAGCTTGCTTATCCCGTCCGTTATACGTTAAACGCGCATTCGGAAACGTATTTGCCACGCGCCACACCAATTAGCAGCGGGTAAAGGTCTTCGCGCATGCGTCAACGCGACGCATGCGCAGAAAGTTTGTAAGCTTGAGGTTGGAGATGGGTGTCCGAATTAACGACTTTTGACTGTACTGTATTTTCTTTAATGGATTTGATTCCACATATAGAAATATTTTTTAAGATATATTGCTCATCAGATTATTTATTTATATGTATAATATCAGAGAATATGAGATAATAGTTCAGAATTCTGTGCTCTTTTTATTCAGATATTTTAAAATTGATCTATCCAGGATATTTGTTCCCCTGAACATCAGAATCAATCTGAATTTTTAACTCTACTATAATTATAATGAAAGATAATACATTAATTTTAAAATAGTTACTTGAGAATATTTACTGTATTTGCCGGCGTATAAGACGCACCCCCTTTTTATACACATTTTTGAAATATAAAACTTTATTACTGATCATTATAATGAATTTACATTACTTTAAATATGAAGTAATACAGATACGAAGTAATACTTTCTGCAGATATCCAATATATATGGAAAGGAACACTTTTTAATTTTCTTCAAAACCCAGACACTCATCTCCAGAGCTAAGTGAAGAGTCATTTTAAACCTCGTATAAATCAGCATCTGAGTCCTCATACAACAAATTGTCCTTTGAACAATCTAGTGCATTACTAATGCCACACTTCTTAAATGATTTAACCACTGTCTCTGTTTTCGAAGCATCCCATGAAGCTTTGACCTATTCACAAACTTGCGAAACGCTAAATCCGAATAAACTGAGTATAGACTTGTAAGACGCACCCCGTTTTTCAGACCTATTTTCAAAGAAAAAAAGTATGTCTTATACGCTAGCAAATACGGTAATTATTAGTTACTTTTAAATAAGAGACTAGGGATATGCATTATTTCTGGCAATTTTGTCTAAAAATTAGCAGTTTTAATTTTGATTTTGTAAAATTTAAGACTGCTAATCACCCCCTCCCAATTTTTTTTTAAAGGAATACTTTGAAAATTTCTAAATTTTAAATGATGGGATAAAAAGACATAAAAGAAAGCTCACACTTTTAATACATGTAGCTATATCAGAACTTCAAAGTAGATTATTTATTATGGTTGATTAAGTAATCTTTCTTGGAGGTCGTTTTCAAAAATAACTGGCTGTATTTACATTATATGTCAGAAAATTCATCAAACTTCCATGCTTATTCAATGATAAAAAACAAAACCTATGGGAAACTATCAGAGTTTAATAGTCTAATCCATTTAACCAGTGTAGGACATCAGAAGCTCAAAGCAAATGAACATTACTGTTTTAAATTAGTCATATTGTATTCTAAATACTTCTTCAAAACTACAATGTTAAATTGCGATGATAAACATACAATCAAATTATCTCTTCATGGACCATACTCCTCATACTTTTATATATATTTAAAATTTTTCTTAATTCTTTAACTTTTATTTCTCTTATATAAACTATTTTACTAGATACTGAAAGTCTAGATTAAATAATGTGAAGAAAACAAAGTACCGCTACATGACATTTAATCAGACATTAAGAATTTTCACATTGACATAAAGACATTATTAGATGGCAAACACGAATTGCTAAATCTTATGAGCAAATGAAAACTGTTTATGGTGACAAATCTTTCAAAATTTAGTTACATATTTTAATATGAAACACTTTTAATGCTTTATATCCATAACTGTCAAAACTATTGTTTAAAAAACAAATTGCCATACGCGGACTTCCGAATATTTATGTATTAAAATGCCAGAATGTAAATAATATATTTTACCAATTCAAAGAAGGCACAGTGACAATTTCATTTGTAATAACTGTTATGTAGGTTTTTAAAATGGTCATATTATACAATTTTGAAAAAAAGATTAGCATTTTTTGAAATTCCAGAAAATGTAAATTAGCTGAAATTTATGAGAAGAAATAAAAATTGAAAATTATATTATTCATACTATTGTTTATTTATAAGCTTTTCAAATTCATAAATAATATTAAATATGCCACTTTAACCATTTCTAGTTATGCGCATGTAAATTAAACTAACAACTAAACATATTCATACATCATAGACATCTTTTTACATTATACGTTTTTAAAGACCATTTTTTTCCTTTTATAAATTAAAATATCAAAATATATTAGATTTTAGATCAGGGATTCCCAAATGTTTTCTTTCACTGACATCTTTTAAAAGAATAATTCTCTTCATCGACCCCCTTACATTTTTCTCTATAATATACAGCACACAACATAATCATAATAAAAATAATTGCACGTAACTTAAAGATTCAAATTAGACTAACAATATAAACAGAAGTTTTGAAAAAAAATCGTAAATTTATGTTTTATTATTTTCTGTATTTATTAATTTTACTAATATAAGTTTACAGATACAAAATCAGATTTCTAACTGCACGAAACTTGTATTTTAATTAATGTTATGACTGTGTTTGGTGTATTTTTTTTTAATTTGGCATAAAATTGCTCAATTGAATTCTTAAATCATTGCATTAAAAATCATTCAACCTGTTTCTTGTTTTCCGTTGTAAATTTTTAGTCATTGCACTTGTCGAAGTAAGAAACGTGAGTAATGTGCAATGCCCTTGCCAGGATACGAATTCCGGACATCCTGATTGCTAGCTCAATGCACTTCTATTTACACTACAAAGGCAAATGGTAAGGAAGGAGAAAATGTCTTACAAATTACTGAACTCAGGGGTGGGCAAATAGCAGCCCCGCCAATACAGTCAGAAAAATCCGCTTTGAAATGAGAGTTCTCTCCTGTGTGCGACTGAAGATTCATCACACGTTTTCCAATCGGATGGCCATGTCAACACACATGCACAAACGAAACCTTTATAACAAGAATAAATAAAGAAAAACAAAAAAGTGGGTACCAGTTAACATGCTGACAACATGTGCAAAGCGAAAGAAAAATTTCTGGCGAACGCAGTCAGTGATCAGTTTTTCGTTGAATATATGTTGCCATATTTAACAATATAGTAAGTTAAAATTGGCCAATCAGAATAATATGCAAATGTTACTTCACTCCTCACATCTGAATCATAAAACATTGTCTGAAAACAAAACATCCATTTTTCTGTGTTCATGTGATTACAGTTTTCCACTTCTATTTCGAAAGGGGAAGAGTGGAAGTTTTAATATATCTGTTAAATACATATGTGCAGCGCTTCTCCGGTTGATCTGGTTAATTTCAGTTTAATCTTTGTAACAGTAAATATATAAATTTCTAACTTTAGTGAAACAATGCACACTCTGAGAAAATGTAAAATTCAGGATAAATGTTATGTATTTAATAAAGAATGCATAAACAAAATATTTCTTTGGTAATACAGGGAATAAAGCAGCTTTTTACTATGTCATGAAACGAGATCTGTAATCTAAAACAACAAGAAACAAAACACAGTGCATTTGCTTGCAAACTTTCTCAAGATGAATGCAAAATAAAAGCTGTGCAGTGTTTAAAAAGGTTGAAGAAGCAAAAAACATTATTTACAAGGCAACCAACACTTCAAAGTAGTGTTATCGAAGCAAGTTTCATGGTAATCTACAACCTTGCTAAACACAAGCATTTTTCAGATGGCGAGTTTATCAAGCAGTATATGGTAGTGTGCAAGTGGATTGTGTCCTGATGTGAGAAATTTAAAAGAAATATGTGAGAAAAGAAATAAATTTGAAACATTTCATTGTCAAGAAGAACTATAGTGCTGCGGATTGCAGAACAGCTGAATACTGCGAGCAAAAAGTTTGTTTGGTTTTTTTGGCACTGAATGGAGAGTACAGATAATGAAGACACTGCACAAT